GGCTGTGGGGGATGCAGTGGTCCATAATGGTTGAGAGGGTTTCTGTCACTTCTTTCCAGAATTGAAGAACAGGGGGGCAGAGCCAAAAAGCATGTATGTGCGTGTCAGTTGAGTTTTGTGTGCAGTTGGTGCATTTGTCTGTACATGAGCTGAATTTTGACATTTTCTGTCCGGTGAGATGTGTTCTGTGTAATATTTTGTACTGTATCAGGTGAAGGTTTGCGTTGTCAGACATGTTGTAGATGTTGTTACATATTTGGGTCCAGAAGCTGGCATCAGGGGCAATTCCAAGGTCTGTTTCCCATTTTTCTGTTGGTAAGGTGATTGTATAATTTGAATAGATGATGATTCTGTAGATGTTGGCAGTTATTTTTTTTGGGGTCTTGATATTTAGTAATCTTGTAATTGGTGGGGGGAGAGTGAGATCTATATTTTTTGTGTCATATGATTTTTGGATGATTGATTTTAATTGATGGTACTCGAGATATTGTGTGTCCCTGATGCCAAACTTCTGGACCAGGTGCGAGAATGAAACCAGTGTGTTGTCATGAAAAATGTGTTGTAGGTGTGTGATGCCTGCCTCTGCCCATGTACGAAAATGTAATGGTTTCTTGAACTGTAGGAGGTCTAGGTTGTTCCAGATGGGGGTGAAGATGGATGGTGTGGGAGTGGTGTTAGTGATTTTATAAAATTTCCACCAGGCTGTCAGAGCTGATGATATTGTATAGAATGTGAAGCATGGGTGTCGTTTAATTGAGCTGCTGTGAAATGGAAGGTCAGATAATGATATATTTCCACAGATTGTCTGTTCAATGTCGGACCAGGTATTGTCTGCAGGGTGTGGGTGTGTCCATTTATAAATATATTGCATATGAATTGCTGTCGAGTAGTGAGTGAAGTTTGGTGCGCCAAGTCCTCCTTGTGATTTGGGTTTTTGTAATGTTGTGAGCTTTATTCTGGGAGTTTTGTTTTTCCAGTAAAATTTTGATATGATAGAGTTAAGGGATTGGAACCAGGATGATGTTGGGGTGATTGGGATCATGGAGAGAAGATAATTTATTTTGGGGAGAATTGACATTTTGATAGTTGCTATTCGACCAATGAGGGATAGGGGTAGATTCATCCAGCGTTGAAGGTTGTCTGTGATTGATTTGAGGAGTGGAGTGTAGTTTAGATGAAACAGCTCTGACAGCCTGGGGGAGATCCTAATGCCAAGGTAGGTAATATGTTTAGATATGGGAATGGGAGGGGGATGGACCACTGCATCCCAGCTGTCATGTTGTACAGGGAGTATGGTTGATTTGTGAAGGTTGATTGAATAGTCTGAGATATTTGAGAATTGTTGTATAAGTTTGATTGTTTCTGTTAGGGATGTGTATGGGTGTTGCAGGTATAATAATATATCATCGGCATAAAGGCTGATTTTATGGTGTCCAGTGGGTGTCTGAATTCCGGTGATTTTTGGGCTTTGGCGGATTGCTGCTGCTAGTGGTTCAATAAATATTGTGAAAAGTGCTGGAGAGAGTGGACATCCTTGCCTGGTTCCTCTGTGGAGAGTGAATGGTTGTGAGATTATTCCATTTGTTGTTACTGTAGCTGTGGCTGAGGTGTGTAGAATTTGTATCCAGTTTATAAATGACTCCCCAAAGCCAAATGTTTGTAATGTTGATATTAGAAAAGACCAGTTTACTCTGTCAAACGCTTTTTCCGCATCCAGGGAGATTATTGTGGTTGGGGTTTTTTGTGTGTTTGAGTATTGCATTAAGTTGAAAAGTCTGCGAGTGTTATTGGATGAGTGTCTATTTTTGATAAATCCTGTTTGGTCAGGGTGAATGATGGTGGGAATTACCTTTTCAATTCTATGGGATAGTACTTTTGTGATGATTTTCAGGTCTACGTTGATAAGGGAGATGGGACGGTAGTTTGATGGTTGGTTGAGGTCCTTGTTAGGTTTTGGGATAAGTGATATTGTAGCATTATTCATGTGAGTGGGTAGTTGTGATTTTTCTTTTATTTCAGCGATGAGTCTAAGGAATAATGGGGAAAGAATAGTCCAAAATTGTTTATAGAACTCAGCAGGGAAGCCGTCCGGGCCAGGAGTTTTGTTGTTGGGCATTGATTTTATGGCAGTGTGGAGTTCATCTTTGTCAATGGGCGCATCAAGCATACCCATTTGGTCTTGTGAAAGTTTTGGAAGACTAATATTGTTTAGGAAAATGTTTATGTCTGATTGGACAGGTGTGTTCTCTGATGAGTAAAGTGCTGAATAAAATGTTTTAAATATATAGTTTATTTCCTCCGGTGATTGTGTTGGCTTCCCTGCTGAGTCCTCTATACTTACTATGGTTGATTTTTCTTTGTTTTGTTTTATTTGATTGGCTAGGTATTTCCCTGATTTATTATTATGATGAAAATTTTCTTGCCGGAGTCTCTGAATCATAAATTGAGATTTTTTATTGGTGATGTTATTCAGTTTGTAGTTATAATGTCTTAATTCATCTTGTGTTTTTTCTGAAGGGTTGTTTGCATTATCGGTGTGTAGCTGTTTTATTTTTTGTTCTAATTCATTTTGCTCCTGTTGTTCTTCTTTTTTTTTATATGTTGAAAATGATATAATGATTCCCCTTAGTACTGCCTTACCTGCTTGCCATAAGATTGAGGGAGATGACTTTGGAGAGTCATTTATTTCCATGAAGGACGTCCACTCTCTCTGAATAAGATTATTGAAGTCTGAGTCTTTAAGGAGTGATGTATTTAGGCGCCGGGGCGACAGTAGCTCAGTTGGTAGAGCATTGGCCTTAAGGCCAGAAGGTTGTGGGTTCAATTATTAAAGGGTAGAAAATGGATGGATGGATGGTATTTAGGCGCCATCTAGTGGTTCTTTTTTGGGGAGTCAAATTATTCCAGGTGAACGATATAGGGGCATGGTCACTGATTATGATAGGATGAAGTATGGAGTTTGAAATTTTTGATATTAATGAGTTTGAGACAAGGAAGTAATCGATTCGTGAGTAAGATTTGTGGACTGGGGAGTAGAAGGAGTATTCTCTTGACGTTGGATTTTGGAGCCGCCAGCAATCTCCAAGGCCCAATTCACTCATGAATTGTTTTATTGTTTCAGCCGATTGGGAAGGTTTGCATGAAGAAGCGTTACTGCGGTCAAGTGATGGGTTTATTACTGCATTAAAGTCGCCTCCAACAATGATAGGGCAGTTTGAGTGCAGAGAGAGTGATGTGAAAAAGTCGTGGAAGAATGTTGGACTATCGGTGTTCGGTCCATAAATGTTGCCAATTGTGATGGGGTTGTTATTGACTGATATATTGATTATTATAAAGCGTCCTTCAGGGTCTGCAATGGTGTTATTGTGAGTGTGTGTGAGTTTTTTATTTATAAGGATGGCGACTCCTCTTTGCTTTGAGTTAAGATTAGCTGAGTAATCTGAGTATTGAGTATCCTTGAATATCTTGTAATCAACCTGGAGGTTGGACTTGCGCCACTTCCGCTCGACCCTCCGGCACTTTCTCTTCAGTGCTCTGACCGAGTCTGCTTTAGCCCACGGCGCCTTCTGCTTATTTTTCACTATTTTAACCTTCACAGGGGCAACGGTATCCAGAACATTCAAAACACTAGAGGTGACAGAGTTAAACAGTTCATCTACAGTAGAATACGATGCATTTTCAAAGTTTATCATTCCCATAAATAGTTCACTCGTATTTTCATTATTTTCATTTCATTAGCTGCCATTTTCAATGGCAGCTAAGCCTCCTCCTTTTTTGTTTTCCCGTATTTCAGATTCAAATTTGAAATTTGGTGGTGATGCTTCTATTAAAACTGAATTTTCTGTATTTTGGTCAAGCCATGTTTCAGCCATGAACATAAGATCAAGATTATAAGAACAAATAAAATTATTGATTAAAAAAGACTTGTTAGAAAGAGATCTGACATTTAGCATAGCAAGTTTCAAAGTGTCAGTATCAGCGGTTGTGGTCGGCTGATTCTTACACGGAACAAGAATTAGATTTTCCAGATTAGACTGATTAACTCCAGATGTTTTTCTGTAATGTATTCTTTGTGTTATCACTAAGGGAATGGCACAGGTGGCTTCATGACAGGGCCCCAGCCGGGTCTCTCCTCTAACTAGACTGCCAGTGGCTGCGAAGCAGAGACCCTGTGCATCCTAGGGAGAGGAGGGAGGAGGATGGAGAGGTGGGTGGTTCTTGGGTGTTGGACGAGGGGGGGTTGGAGGTGGATGGGTGTTAGGGGAGGGGCAGGAGTTGGGAGATGGACGAGGGGGGAGTGGAGGTGGAGGGGTTCTTGGTGATGGGAAACGAGGGGGGGTGGGGGTGGGGCTGGAATGTTTTGGGGTTAGGGAGGGACCGGTGGATTTTGCGGGTGAATTTGAGGGACGGGTGGATTTTGTGGGAGATTTTGTGGGAGAATTTGAGTTGGACGCCCTAGGTGGCTTTGGAGGTACGTATGGGGAGTAGTTTTGAATGTTAGATAGGACCCTTGATCTGGCTACAGTGGGTGTGAGAGGAATAGTCTTCATCGCCGATCTTATCATGCCTGCAGAGTGTTCCGGTAAATCCAATAGTGATGGAAAACACAGGGAAAGGTCGTAGTGCTCCTCGTATTATTACGCCTCACAATATAGTACCCCTTTTTATCCGCTGAGAAAATCGACATGTTACATTTCTGTGTTACGATACTTTGTAGTGTAACACGTCACGTAACTGTATTTAAATAGGGACCACATGGAAGAGTATGGTAGCTTATAATGGGAGCTGATTTGGTACTATACAGTCTGTGGAAGAGGCTGCGTTTGTGCTCCGTTTCCATGACAGAGCGCACGGACAAATACCAGACAGGTACATATCAACTAAAGTAAGATAAGAACATACAGTATGTCAGTATGTAAAACGGTGGCCTATTCCTTTAACTATTTTGATGTAGTCTAATAACACCTGTGTTCTTGGATGATTTGAGGTACATGTGACACTTACTCAGGCAGCTCCTGTGTGAGCTGAAGCACGGTGTCCCAGGACACTTGGGTGTTGTCGAGGACCAGGCACCGGACGCCAGCGAAGGCCTCGACGCACGGAGCCTCCAGAGGGACTGTGGCCAGCGGGTTGGAGCTCAGGTTCAGGAAGTCCAGGTTGGGGATATTGGAAACAATTTTACTGATCTACAAATTACAGTAAAAAGTAATCATGTCATTAACCAACATTTTTAATATTCTGTGATTGTACTTTATAAAAAAGAAAGACAAGCTGTTGAAGTAACAAAAATTTCATGTACGTTACTCAAGTAAAAGTACAGAAAAGTGGCCTAAAACATTACTCAAAGAAAGAGTAAAGAAAAGGAAAAACAAATAATCAAGTAAATGTACGAATGTGACATATCTATATTATAATATATTGAACATTAAGTACTTGTGACGTGACATTAAAGTGAGTCTGTAACTCTAAATGAATTACAAATTTAAGGAAATGTGTAATATTGGCCTCCTGGCCTTAAATGTTGATATAAAATAAGTCATTTTATTAATTCTAATATTACTGGCAAGTCCTGCCTTCCCTTCTCTTAGCTATAGCTCAGAATCCACGATGCCGTCCACGTTAACCAATCGAGTCATGCCAAGGGCTGTCAATCATCGGCGCTGATGCTCGCAGCTGCGCGCATTCCCAGTTGTTTGTTTTCACGGAGCCTCCGAATCAAGCCTTTATAGGCTCTGGAACTTCATGAAAACTGAACAAAGAATTCTGAACATCCCCGCTGAGGTACTTATGTATATACTGAACCTATATCCATAATCAGATCCTCTGCAGATGTGTCTTATAATATGATAATAGCTTCTTCACTTCACAAAATTCACTGCATTGATTCCCATCCCCAGTTAAGTGTTTTCTACAGTATCTAAATACTTCTCACAAGTCCTCAGATGTCCTGCAGATTGTTGTGGGACAAGTCCAGCTCCATCACATGTGCACAGAAAGCTGCAATTTCTGTTTGGTCTCCAGCTCGACTGATGCCAGAGCCTTCTAACACCAGCACTCTCGGCAAGTTAAGACGATCTGTAGGATTAATGAAAAGATAATAAAAAAACAAAGCATTCATTCATTCATTCATTTAATATTCTTTTAAACATCAACAAGTTTTTGAGAAATAAACACATAAGAGAAAAACCTTTCATGGGAGAGCCTTGAGGTGTGGTGATTATGACTACACCAACCCCAGGGCCTCGGCGATAGGGGAAGTTCTCAGGGCTGTATTTTTCCACAATCACTTCCACGAAAGAGCGGCCGTGTGTGTCGCTCAGTGAGTCCATGGCTGTGCCCCTGAGCTCCGCAGCGGAGATGAAAAAAAAAAAGTTTTATAACGCACAGTGGTGCTCAATGCATTATATTTGGTTTGTGCTTCCTAATAGAATTGTGTGGTTCAAATCTGGAATTTATGAAAGTTGGGACCTGAAGGAATATCACAAAGTGCATAAAATAATCCTGAAACCAGGGGTGTCAATTATGTGACCCAATACTATTTGTAATGGTTCCCAAAATTACTTAATGTATTATTAACTTGAGGCAATGATGGTAAGAATTGAATACAGGCTACCAACATAACTAGTTAATACTCTCAAGAAAACAACTGTACAATTTAAGATATTCTAAACAGTGAACAAGCTGCCCTTGGTTTAAAGGATCTGAGAAAGAGCACCCTAAACAAATGGATTTGGTATTGCCTCTCCTAAAGCAAACTTCAGCTTGATCTGTATGTTCAAATGATGCCTGAAAATGTATAACAAATGTAAATGCATAACTTGTTTGTGTTGGAGTCTGGCTCTGGAGCACAGAGTGCTCGCTGTGTTATTGTCCAGTGTATGCCCAGAGTGCTGTACTCTCAACGCTTGGACACATGCCTTGTGAGCTGAGCCACACAGAGACTGAACTACACTACTTAGTAGTGTATTATTGTTTTTGTGTTGTATTCTGTTCTTTCACTTTAAAAAAAAAAGAAAATAAAAAGATACATTTAAACACGAAAACACAAATAGTAATAGTTAAAAGAAAAATAAATAATTGACCTTGCAGTCTGCAATAACAGCATTTCCTTACCTTTGGACCACTTTTGGTCAAATCATGACTGAATTTGAATGCATTTTGTTTGCAAAATTCTATCAGAAATTAATATCCAAACTCATCTTAACTAAAAGTGATCTATAATGCAAAAAATCAATGTAACAAGAAATAAAAATTAGATGCAATGGATACACTGGTAAACTTCCAGCCCACAATCAGCTCATTTTATTATGCGGCCCCTGAACAAAATTAGTTTGACACCCCTGCCAAAAGTGCTTTTTCATTTTCAGTGCAGTAAGTGATTTCAGTGAGTTCAGAAATTTTAAGGTACAAAGTGCAGTACTTATAAGGGCCTTAGACAAACTAAATGATTTGAGACCATTTTATAGTCAACCAATTTGGTGGTTTAGCAATGATTTTCTGGTCTCTCCACACACGTGAGCTGTGTGCCGAGATTGACACACAGCAGATACTACACAGTAAACAGTAAATTTTACGTTTTTGGTAAAGAACCTTTTTTGTCTGTAAATGTACGCCATCGAGATGTCCTCAAGTTTCATCATCAAATTCAGAGCAAACATCAATCTCAAGGGCCTTTGCGATATAAAACAACAAAGGGTTAAATGAAAGAATAATCACAAGATCAATAAATACAGATCTGCAGTCCATTAAAACATCAGTAGTATTTCTGATTACAGTTCTTTTTAAAACAACAAACTTCAGTGCAGATTATTGACAGTTCTAGGAAGCAGCATTGATTTGTTATGATAATTCATACTGGGAACTATATCAAACATTCAAAAGTATAAGTGTATGGGGACACTAGACTACGTGAAAAAGCTAGTGTACACAAATATATACCCCATAATGTAAAGAGCTACTACTAAGCAAAATTTCTATGCAGTACATTATGTGATCTATTGACAGAAACAAGTGCCTTACCTAAAGAGATCGTCCTTAACCACAGTGACCACTTAATGTATCCTGTTCCCTCTCAAATGGGTCCTGTAATGAAAAGGTTGCATGTTTTATTCAATTTCATATTTGTCAAAGTATTTGGTGCATTTACTTACTCCAGATTGGCGGGTGATTGGCCGCACTGATCCACGCGAAAAGAGACAGGAATAAACTTGATCCAGCACTTGAAACTATAAGCAAAAACAGGCTGGGTGAATGGATGGTAAAGTTATTCATTTACCAAAATCAATAAAAATGTTGTGCCTTTGTGAACAAGGTCACAATCTTGTATATCCTGTTAGTTGTCAGTTTTAGAGCTCTTCAAGAAATGATCTGACCTATACTGCAGTTATGAATAGCATGATTGCTGATGGCATAGATATACAACACCAACACAAAAGGGCACGTTAGGACAAAAAGCATGAAGCAAAAATGACTGCTGCAACCATGACAGTATTTAAAATAACTTAGTGTTTATGGAGATTTCTTGTTGTTGTAGGTCAGAAAATCCTATCGATTTAATTTTAATACTACAAGCCGATATGCTTAGCTGGCTTTTGACTCAGAGAAAAACATATATTGGGGGCTTAGTCCCCTCTATTAAATATAATAAATACACTATGCTTTGTCTAATATACTGATTATATTTATTAAAGGTCAACTAATTTAGATTTTTGTATTTCTCAAACAAAGTCTATTTGTAGGCTTATGTTAAAGTAGGAAGTGCATGTTAAATAAATAAAATAAATACAATACAGAACACTATCCAGTACACACGGTCAACAATTGTGATAATAACATGTCACTACTCTTTGACGTACATTTGATTAAATATAACATTAAATGTACTTTTGGATCCACATTCTTTAAGTTTTAGCATACAAATCGGCTATCATAAGAAAAACATGAGATATTTTCTAATTGGGACAAAATGTACAATCCAGTCTTTTTCCAAAAGAGATCAAAATGATAATATAATTGTTATGATTACATGTGATCAACTGCACCATAGACATTCAATAGATTAACGCTGTGAAGAAAGAACAAATAGCTTTAGAATAAAATACCGAAACAAACAATACCACAACGACAACTACAACTGCTAAGATAAAAAACTACATATTAGACACATTAGAAAAGCACAAACTAATCCCAATAAAAACATAACAGGTTTTTTGTTTTTTTCTATAGTAGACGGTGCAGCGATCCTCAGCAACAGAATCAGTCACGGCTGACCGAACGTAATCTCGAGACAAAACCATAAATACAGCAGGATACCTGTCATAATAGTGCATATACATCTATAATAAGGATATCAATCTTTCAGAGTAAAACGCAACCACTGTTACCCGCGTACACACCTTAAATATCCACTTTATTTGGCTCGTGTTGATGAAAACAAACCAGCTGTCATTTTGGTGTCTCGCATCCAGGAAGTGACGAAATGTAGCTTAGTAGCTTGGTAGCGGTAGTAGCTAAGGATATTGCAAATCCTTAAAAGTTATGAAATTAAATAAAGCAATAGAGCTTCTAGATCAAATAAAACATTACAAATTAATTGACCCTTAAATCTGAGGAAACAATTGTTTATTTTTTTATTTATTTTATTATTGTATTCATAAAGCATTATTTTGTATTTACCTATTTTGGTTGTTTCTTCTATTTATGTTCATCTTCTTTTTCGTTCAACTCGCCTTCATTTTTGCACTTTATGGATATGAACTGTGTTGTGCCTTAATGTTTAAAATGTTCAATAAAGTTTTATAAAAAAAAAAAAAAAGGTAGCGTATACAGTCTATGAGTAGCAGTAAGTTTATTTTCATGTATTTATTTTTTGTCACACATGATACTGTAAAAGATAGAATAATAAAGAACAAAATACAAATGTATTATAAATATAAACAAATAATTAGATTATAGGAAGAGTCTGTAACAATGGAAACTAGGGAAGATCTATTTAATATTTATTTTATTATTCTGTACCATACATTTATACTGGTATCTGTGTGAATTCAATTGGAACGCTGTCAATCGTTTAGAAACAATGACATTCAAATAAAGTAAAAATAAAATAAAATAAAAAGGGAGATTTTGCCATCTAGTGCAATAGTTGGTGTACTGCAGTTACAATACAAATGGACCAGGGTTGAAAAAGGCTGTCAGTTGAGATTGTCGTTACTCTGTACTTATATACGTCATATGAATAATCAGTTGTTGCATTGCTACCTGAAAAGCTTGCTTTCCATACTCAAATGACACGTACACGGGCGTTTAAGTAAGTAAGTAAGTTTTTATTTATATACCGCCTTTTCACTGCAGATCTGAGTCTCAAAGCGGTTTACAATTGTTAATTATGGGCATTTGTCTCTCACTCCACACAGAGATGGGAGCGGGGTCACCAGTACAGGAGGCATATGCCAGAACTATTGGACATATTTTTAGAGGTAGGGGAACCCGGAGTACCCGGAGGAAACCTACGCAGACACGGGGAGAACATGCAAACTCCACTCAGAAAGGCCCTGGTCCGACCGGGATTCGAACCCAGGACCTTCTTGCTGAGAGGCGAGAGTGCTATCCACTCAGCCACCGTGCCGCCCGAGTGACTTAAGTATTTTATTTTCAATACTTTACCACTAACCTTTCAAACCCCATTGTTACTTTTAAACTTAAATATATATACTTTCTGCTTTCTTAAAGATGATAGGACATAAAAACTGGTTGGAAGAGGTCAGCCGTGCTTTTACTGTAAGTTCACATGACCCTTTGGCAGCACTTGACTTAATGTTTTTGTAATAGTGTCTTTAATATGCCTATGTTGTTTAAGTGTTTCAAAAGCAATACTAAAATCTCTCATATGAATATATAGTACATCAATGTCAGTAACAAATTAAACGACTACTAGAGCAGTAATGTTCTGTGGTTTTTATCATTAAGTCCCCAGCAAAGAGAAAATCTAGACAAAAGGCATTCCAAAAAGTAAATGTGACGATACAAGAGTAAAAAAAAAAAGGTTCTATTAAACTATACGCAGGGTGTTGTTAATCAGGTAACATGGATTTGTATCACAGGGACCTGATTTTGTTTTCTTAGCACAAACCTATATCGAGAGAATAAATTCATTGACCACAAATAAAAGTAGAAGACAGCATGTGGCCCAAACAACCAGTTTATTGTGAAAAGTCCCTTCCGCCAATCATACAATTGTACCAAGTGTAACATAAATTCCATTGAATAACACCAACAACACAATTCATTACATGTTTATTTATTCAAACTCCAGATGCATCCGTGAATCATCAACCTAAAAGAGAAAATGCGAGATAGTTAGGTTATAAATATGACTTAAATGATCACAATGTATTAATTCAGTGTATGCATGCATGCCTGTGCAAAACAAATTCATGGTTTGTGAACTAGTTTTTGTCAAAGAAAATACATTATAGATATAAGCTGGGGTACCTAACTTATTTACAAACATACACTATACTAACAAGTTATACATATTTTATTACATAGTTACATTTTCTGTTGATTTAAAGTTAGGTATGGAGCATTAATAGAACGCATTGCTAGAAGATAATTGTATTAGTTACAATTTCAATAGAATTGCTATTTTTCGTCATTTGAACTGACTTTGCTGACTGCATCACCTCTTACCTCAAGCACAGGGGTAACTGTACTCTGTCTCATCACTGTCGCCTGAAATGGAAATAAACCATTCTTTTAAATCCATGGCAAAGACTTGAACCTTATTTAATTTTTTTCTTATTCATGATGGTACGTACTGGGCTGGTAGTAGTCGTAGAGTACCACCACGGCGGGCTTCAGGTTACTCACTTCGCGTTCCTGTACCACCACTAATTGATGATTGATGGGGATGCCTTTCGGTAGCTTTTAAAGGAAGAATACAAAAACATTTTCAATCTGACTAATTTTTTCCCAAATTATCAGGTTAAATATGAGATTTTCTTACCTCTTTCAGGTAGACCAAATAATGGTCATTGTCCTTTTGGTCATTTTCAATCCTTTCGACCAGCAATGCGCCCTCCAGCTTAAACACGCAGATGCACACACACACACGCACACACAGACACACACACACAGACACACACACACATATTTTGTGAGAATTTTTGACATTAAAGATACTATTTTGAAAATCTTTAAAAACACCTCAAAGCAAGTAGGAACATTAGTGAGGGAATTGGGCTTTTTATATCATTTGAATATCATTGATGTTCAAACACATTAAAAATTGACTGCATTTACTCAGTTATTACCAATTTCAATTTTCAAAGCCTGATATGATGCAATCTGACATGAAACATTGTGTTAGGTCAGCTGCAGCTTAGATGAATCAAGACTTGATACGCAAAATCATATTTGCTGAGCTTTTAACCATCAAAACAGATTTCGATTTGTTTTGAGCTTTATTCATGCTAGTGTGTCTGAACCATAGACTGTAAATATTATATCTGAATGGTCCTGCCTCAGTCTTGAGCTGAATCCAAATCGTAGCCTCTAAATTCTATCTCCATCAAACTCAAGTTTTGTCAATTAAAAAAAAAAAAATTATACTTCAGCCTAATCCCTTCGGTCACAACTGCGTTTGTAAATCTATGTTAAAGCATGTTCATTACTGACATAAGATACATTGTTTTTGTAACCTTGTCCTTTTGTTAATGCCTTTTTATGTCAAGAAATAATAATAATTTGCATGACCGAATAAACAAATAAACAAACAGCATTTCTCTGGTGAAATTATCTATGTATGCAGAACTAAGGTGTGATTTTAAATTTAACCCCAACAAATTCAACATATACTCCTGGTGGCAGAAGTGAGTACTACATGCTAAGAGCTTATTGATCTTTAAAATATAATTTGTTCATTATTTTTTGCTTCAATGACCAAGTGAAAAGTCCCATTAGCAAGTTTAAGAACCAAAATACTGCATTATATACTGTATCTTCTTCATGAGCTCCTGAATGCTGAACACTTTCTATACAGCAACCTGGCTTCCTGAAAACATTTCCCTACATTTGTCTTTCTAAATGTAATTCTAATATTAATTGTAGAAGCCCTCCATCACATTTCAGGGATCTTCCTATTGAATGTTTCACGTTTCTGTAGAAACTCAGATGCCTAAAGGGTTAACTAAATCTCTAAAATAAAAATAAAAGCAAAACAAAAAAAGCGCTTTTCAAATACCTCTTTCAGAGACCGAGAATCTGGTTTGAATCCAGAGAGCATCTTAATGTTGAGGATGACCATGTTGGAGGTTTCCTGGTCCCCATTATACCTGTAAATGAGAGTAGAAGTGGTTATAGATGGTAAAGATAACATAATCAAAATGCATTCGCTGGAGTTTTGGTCTCACTCTGATTTGAAGAAGAGGTTCATTTTGGGTCTCAGTAAGTTGCTGTCGCAGTCGACCTTGTGAGTCACATCAACTTTGAATGCAGAGGTGACGGTGGGTGTCGGGACGTTGTACATGAGAGCAATCTGGACATCCTTTGTCCAACGCTGATCATTATGACGAAGACGACTTTAATGACCTTTGTTGGATTAACACAAATGTAAAAATGCTGAAAAATAAGTCAGAACTTCTAAGGTGATTTTTCCAATAACAACCATACCGGCAATTGGAACTTGTCTGTTTTGAAGTAATTTAAAGACTTAAATAAAAACAACAACTAAACTTGACGAGACAGCACGAAGTGGATCAAGAAAATTGGTTTCAACCAAGACTTCAAAATCTTGTGGAGTTTAAGAAACAAATGTGTACATGGCTGATGCAAAATAAAAATAAAGATGTGGATGAAATGAATGAAGACGTGGAACAAAAGCGAATGGACACTTTAAGTGCACAAAAGGATGTTATCACTAAAGAAAGAAATGCAGATACAAAACCGAAATGGGCACCCCAACAAACCGAGCCGATTGTACAGGAAGAGAAAAATGTATTGCTCAGCCATGAGATGTGCCCAGAGGTGCTGGCATTGACTAAGCCATGCCATGCAGCCACCTCGATTTCACTTTCCTCCAAAAGTGGCCGCTCAATTTGCTCTACATCCTCTTCAATACGTCTAAGAGAGGAGGCAAGGAGGGCAGCGTTGGTAGCCCAAGCAGCTTCTATACAACAAAGGAAAACAATTGCATTAAAGGAGGCTGCTCTAACTATAGAAAAAGAGGAACTTCAGATACAAACTGCTCTTGCAATGTCCGACGCAAAACTTAAAGTGTATGAAGGGACTGCACATACAGACACAGAAGATGATTTAGATGACTTGGAATCATGTGTCAGTATGACATCCGTAACAAACTATCAGGACAATGCTGCCGCACCAGTACCAGAGCGTGGTCCTCCGCCCATTACCTTAAGTACTGGGGCCAGACCCAAAGCGCAGTATCCTACAACAACCTCTAGATCAATTGATGAGGATAATGACTACAAAAGAGACATATGTAACATTCTGAGAGAACAAACAAAAATATCAAAGACTCTTGTGTCACAACAACAAACAACACAACATCCCCAGGCGTGAAATACCAGTGTTTACAGGTGACCCGCTCAGTTTCAGAACTTTTATAAAAGCATTCAGACTTGTTGTTGAATCCAAAACAAGCAGCAACACTGATAAACTGTATTTTCTAGGGCAATACACCAGGGGAGAACCACAAACTTTAGTGAAAAGTTGCCAACATATGCCTGAACGCAGTGGTTTTGCACATGCAATGTCTTTACTGGAGGAACATTATGGACATCCATTAACTATTGCTACTGGTTTATTGGAAAGGCTTTACAATTGGCCAACTATTAAAGCTGAGGATGCAAAGGCACTAAACAGTTTCTCATTATTCTTGGTTTCTTGTCAGAACACAATGCAAGACGTGGACTATATGGACGAGCTTGACAGCCCAACCAATATGAGGACAGTCATTTCAAAGCTTCCATATAAAACAAGGGACAAGTGGAGAACAAGTGCGTATGAATTAACAGAAAAACACAAAAGACGTGTGAAATTTGTGGATCTTGTTTCATTTATCAAACGTGAAGCAAAAATTGTAAATGATCCTGTGTTTGGACACTTACAAGTTACCCCATTGGGAAAGCAAGAGAAAAGGCCGGTCCTTTTGATTATTTGCCAAAAAGAGAAAAATCAAGTGCAAGTAGCTTTGCCACCGCTCTGACAAAGCCAAACAACCAAACAAAAGAGCCTGATCCAGAATCGCAAAATATTGCTCTAACCAAACCATGTTTGTTTTGCAAAAAGGCTCATGCCCTAATCGACTGCTACAGGTTTGCAGGAGAATTACATAAAACAAAGTTGGACTTTTTGAAAAAGGCTGGACTCTGTTTTAGTTGCCTAGTTCAGGGGCATATGGCAAAAGATTGCAAAAAGAAACTGAGCTGCTCAGTGTGTTCTTGGGAGCATCCCAAACTGTTGCACATATATAAAAGTGGAAAGCAAGTAAATGCAGTCTGCCAAACAGACCTTAAAGGTACAGAACAGAGGTCCTCTCAGGCTTCGATAAATGCAAATCATGTTGCTACTGTTTCAAATGGGGCCGGGGACAACTGTGTTCTTTCAATACTTCCTGTCAATGTCAAGTCTCAAAAGGGCAACAAAACAATTCAAACTTATGCATTTCTGGACTCTGGAAGCTCTGCGTCTTTCTGTACTGAAGCTCTGGCAAAGCAGTTAAACATCTGTGGACAAAAAACAAAAGGAATGATCGTGTTGAAAACAATCAACTCAATGACACAAACAAAATGCAGCGTCATAAGGAACTTGGAAATCAGTGGTCTTAATGAAAACAAATACATAACTGTTCCCAAGCTATACATCCAAGAAAGCATACCTGTTGAGAGGGAAAATATACCTTACCAAAGAGACATTGAGAAGTGGCAATACCTCAAAGAAGTTACTTTGCCTCAAATCAACGCAGACATTGGACTACTCATTGGTAACAACGTGTATGAGGCTTTTGAACCATGGAAGGTGGTAAACAGCAAGGATGATGGCCCTTACGCTATAAAAACAATGTTGGGTTGGATTGTGAATGGGCCTGTAAAAGAGAATGATGATAAAAAATGTATAACGTCTAACAGAATATCTCTAACAAATGTTGAAAACCTGTTAATGCAGCAATACAAGGCTGACTTTCCTGAACATCATCATGATGAAAAAACTGAAATGTCCACAGAAGATAATAAGTTCTTACAATCTGTCTCAAGTTCAGTTCACCATAAGAATGGACATTATTTCATCAGACTGCCAATAAAGGAAAAACACTTAAGCATGCCAAACAACAGAGAGATGGCAGTTCACCGTGCCCTAGCGTTAAAGAAAAGGCTAAGCAAAAACACTCTATTTCACAAAGAATACACAGAGTACATGGGAGATATGATCAGAAAAGGATATGCTGTTAAAGTCCAAGAGTCACAGCTCTGCAGAGAAGATGGAAAGCTTTGGTATATACCACACCATGGCGTACATCATCCCCAAAAGAAAAAACTCAGAGTTGTATTTGACTGTGGTGCTAGCTTTCAGGGTGTTTCTCTCAACAAAGTACTCATGCAAGGCCCAGACCTCACTAACTCAGTTGTTGGAGTACTTACTCGCTTCAGGGAGGAAAATGTGGCAATAATGGCAGACATTGAAGCAATGTACCATCAAGTCAGGGTTCCTGATGAAGACACTGACTTATTGCGATTCTTGTGGTGGCCAGAAGGGGACCTTACACAGCCACTCACAGAATACAAAATGGTTGTTCATCTTTTTGGGGCCACTTCATCGGCCAGCTGTGCCAATTACGCCCTTCGAAAAACAGCAGAAGATAATAGAACAAATTCATCGCGCGAAATCGTGGACACAGTGATGAGAAATTTTTACGTTGATGATGCTTTAAAATCAGTTAAAAGTGAGGAAGATGCTATCTCGCTCAAAGAAAACCTTACTAAGCTATGTGCATCAGGAGGATTTAATCTCAACAAGTGGACGAGTAACAGTCGGGCTCTATTACAAACAATCCCTGAACAGGAAAGAGCCAAAGAAATAAAGAATCTGGATCTTACGAAAGACGCACTTCCAATTGAGAGAGCCCTTGGAGTGCTCTGGTGTGAAAACACAGACACTTTCACATTCAGTGTCAGCATAAAACAAAGACCAGATACAAGAAGAGGAGTCCTATCAATCGTAAGCTCAATATATGACCCGCTGGGCTTCCTTTCTCCAGTGGTCCTTCCTGCTAAGAACATTTTGCAGAAGCTCTCTAAAGACAAACTGTCCTGGGATGAAGACATGCCATTACACCTCGTTCATTTGTGGTCTGACTGGCTGAGTCAATTGTCTGAGCTATGCAACTTTAAAATACCAAGATGCATAAAACCTACAAACTTTGGACAAATCACATCTGCTCAGCTCAACCACTTTTCAGATGCCAGTGAAAGTGGATATGGATCAGTGTCCTACTTAAAATTAACAAATGAAGAGGGGCATGTTCACTGTGCGTTTATGATGGGAAAGTCCAGAGTCGCTCCACTTAAAGCAACCACAATTCCACGCATGGAAGTAACAGTAGCGGCACTGGCAGTCAATATGGACAAGATTTTGAGAAGAGAACTCACATTAAGTCTTCAACCCTCCGCCTTTTGGACAGATAGCACGGCAGTGTTAAAATATATAGCAAATGATGAACTGAGATTAAAAACTTTTGTCTCTAACAGAATTGCTATCATTAAAGACGCAACAGGTCTTGATCAGTGGAACCATGTGAACACAAAAATCAATCCAGCTGATTTTGCATCACGCGGGTTGACAGTCCGCCAATTCCTGAATAGCTCCACGTGGTTTGAAGGGCCTTCCTTTCTGAAGGACATTAATCGAAAGAGGGACACTGCTGAACGCTTTACACTCGCCGAAGACGACACTGAAGTGCGGAAAGTGAAAGTTAATGCTGTACAGGCGTCTACACACGGCTGCTCTGTGGAAAAGCTTATTTGTCATTACTCAAGTTGGACACGTCTCAGAAGAGCTATTGCCTGGATTCTCAGAGTTAAAGACTACTTGCTTGCTTCTATACAGAAGGACAAAGTAAAGGACTCTGCTTCAAGACAAACCAGAGCTCGAAGGAAACGTGATAAAATACTCCGTGTGCCACTAACTGTGGATGAGCTAAAAAGAGCTGAAAAGGCTGCTGTACGTCATTGTCAGCTTGTTTCCTTCAAAGACGAAAGTCTGGCTTTGCAAAGTGGTAATGCCGAAGTGTCAAGAAAAAGCTCAATTTACAAACTTGACCCTATCTTGCAGGATGACGTACTGAGGGTTGGGGGGCGTCTTAGCCGGTCTGCTTTGCCAGAAGAGGAAAAGCACCCATCTATACTCCCAAAACACCACCATGTCACTTCGCTATTACTGCAAGACATACATGAAAGAACAGGACACTCTGGACGTAATTACATGCTCTCTCGCCTTCGCCAGCGCTATTGGATCCCTGCTGCAAACTCTGCAGTCAGAAGGCTCCTGTCTCATTGTGTTACGTGCAGAAAACATCATGCAAAAGTTCAAGAACAAAAAATGTCTGATCTTCCCTCCGAAAGAGTGCTTCCTGACAAACCACCTTTTACAAGCGTGGGCCTTGACTATTTCGGACCGTATGAAATAAAGAGAGGAAGAAGCCTTGTAAAAAGGTACGGAATGTTGTTTACTTGTTTGACAACCAGAGCTCTGCATATCGAAGTTGCCCATTCTATGGACACTGATTCATGCATAAATGGAATTAGACGTTTCATGTGCAGAAGGGGGCAAGTAGAACTCATCAGGTCTGATAATGGCACGAATATGGTGGGAGCCGAAAGAGAGCTCCGTGAATCACTCCGTGATATAGACAAAGAAAAGATTCAAAACGTCTTGTCAAACAAAGGCATTAAATGGATCTTTAACCCCCCTGCAGGAGCACATTTTGGTGGCGTATGGGAAAGCCAGGTAAAGCTGGTTAAGAAAATCCTGAAGTCTGTCCTTCAACAACAAAGCGTTGATGATGAATGCCTACAGACACTTTTCTGCGAGGTTGAAGCCATAATCAATGACAGACCGATAACCACACCTTCGGATGACCCAAATGACTTGGAGCCCCTCACACCAAATCACCTGCTTCTCTTAAAGAAACAACCAGTGCTGCCTCCAGGTCTGTTCAGCATCAATGACTCCTATTCACGGCGCAGATGGAAACAGACACAATATATGGCAGACTTGTTTTGGAAGCGGTGGGTAAGAGAGTACCTACCTAGCCTTCAACAAAGACAAAAGTGGACCAAAGCAAAACAAAATCTTGCGCCAGATGATGTTGTGCTGATTCTTGATGAAAACGCACCAAGAAATTCCTGGTTGCTTGGAAGAATACTGAAAACAATTTCAGATGACAAAGGATTGGTACGACGAGTACTGGTGAAGACAAAAACAAATATACTTGAAAGACCAGTGGATAAATTATGCCTTTTGCTGAAGTCACAGGCATGAACTTATGATGACGCATTACAAGAATTGCCATAATGGACGTTGTGAGCATATCAAAAAAAAAAAAAATGTACAGTGTTTATGTTGTTATGGTAATTATAAGACCTTATAATTAGGGGCCGGGATTGTTAAGGCCGTTTTGTTTCCTATCAAAAAAAAAGAACAAATGCTAAGTTTAAGTTAATATGCTTTATTTTGTGTGTGTTGGGGTGGGGCCAGGTATGATGCAGTTCTTTTTATGTACACCAGGGGGAACCAGTGAGGCAGTGTGGTAGCGTGGAAGCTGGCCTGGGTTGAGGCCCAACAGTTTTTTGACTGTGTAACTTTTTGTGGAAACTTGTATGTGGAATTTGACCTGTTACCTGTCGACTGAAACCTGTGCCTCATTAAAACAACCTCACCGTTATTCTGTAAGTCTGGTCATCGATTTTTTTCTTTTTTTTTTTACTCACCAGAACACAAGTCAAGCTAAAGCCATAGCCCAGGCTGCTTACAGTGGCAAAGACACCATTAAGAATTGCCACAACAAACTCCCTCATACTTCCTTACCTAAATTATGGCTTGGAAATATGGGGAAACAATTACAAATCCAATACTCATCCTATTTTCCTACTCCAAAAAAAGGCAATAAGATTTATCACTAAAGCAGATTTCTATGCAACAACAACTCCCATTTTTGTAGAGCTAAATCTATTGAAAATCCATGATCTTGTTGATCTAAATACTTTAGTAATAGTGTACAAAGCACATAATAATCTTCTCCCTCCAAACATCCAGAATCTTTTTGAACACAGGGAAAGTCCGTATAACCTCAGAGGAACTGCCATTTTCAAGAAAAAAAAGTCGATGTATTTCTGTAAGAGGTGTTAATCTGTGGAACGATTTAGAAGATCATTTAAAACAGTTTCAAAAAGTTGTATAAATCTACTATCATCCTAAAATATACAAGTTAAGGATGAATAAAGTAAGAAACTAGACTTTAATAGATCCATAATGAATGAATTTAAATGACATGATTTAGTTAAAATAAATTAATGTAAAACAAACGTATATTTACATATATGTATTCTAAGTACATGCTTATTTTTCTTCTGTTTGACACTTGATATTGTTTACAATAAATGTTTGTGTTTGTTTCTCGTGGAAGTTTGTAAATTGGGTTAGGCACAATAAGTTTTTACTTCAGCCTAAACCCTTTCGGCCGTTTGTGCACAAATTATGATGTTGCTTGTTTTATGTTTTATGTTTAAAGGAATGAAATGACCGAATAAACTACTAAACTACTAAAACTACTAAACACAGACCAGAGACATAAGGATAATCCAAAATGATTTCCTGTTTCAATGTCACAGAGACCACACGCTTCACCTTTTTATAGAGAGTGATACTAAAGCTTGAAGTAGAAAAAACACAGGTTAAAGTTTGAAATGTACAAGAACAAATAAATAGCTGAAAGATTGACATGAATTAATTCATCAATGTAAAAAAAAGTAATTGGCAATGTATTTCAGAATCTTTTCAGATCAGAGCCTGGGCACCGCTTCCAACATCATGCAAAGTAAATGCTCTTTATCAGTGGTAATTTCTATAGTACAAAGAGTAATGAGGGAAAAATATTGTCACAGTTTGGACAGAAGCATATCGCAGGGCTCTCTAACCATTTTCAATCAGAGATGCTTATATACTGTTATACACCACCTAGTATTCAGTGTTCACACTGAATACTAGGTGGTATATGGTGCTTTTCAGAACCTCTGGATTCACGGACAAGCCCATCACCGTCCCGGACACCATCACGACCTGGGAGACGGAGGCCTTCTGTCTGTCCTCGAAGGGCTTCGGTTTGGCACCGCGTGTCCAGTTCACCGTGTTCCAGCCGTTCTTCCTGGAGCTCACCCTTCCCTACTCCATTATCCGAGGAGAGCGCTTCATCCTCAAGGCCACAGTCTTCAGCTACCTCGAGAGCTGCATGATGGTAACTCTAGTTCTATGCAATTAAATCATTACTAATTAAGCCCATAAAAGACAATACCAATGAACCACACAAGCTAGAACACAACACTTCAAAATTTCTATTCTCTGGGGAAAGTAGAGTAAGAAAAACAAAATACTTTAAACAAATGTTCTATAATGAATGTGATAAGTGGACCTAATGAAGTTAGTAAATAAACACCATCCATCCATCCTTTTTCAACCCCTCAATCCAATTCTGGGTCGAGGAGGTGGCAATCAGCTGCCACCCAATTCACAGAGCACCAGCCTCTCACTGGTCCTCCTGCAAGTGATGAGTTCCCTAGAGGATGGCTGCTCTGTTGGTGACGTTAAAGCCTTGATCTTTCAGCGGGGGCTTCAGGCAAAGTGGGGTTAAGTGTCTTGTCCAAGGACACAACGGCAGCATGTATCAGCGGGAGTCAGAGGAGAAGGTCTCGCTGTGGATTCGAACCCACAACCTTCAGGCACAAAGGTCAAAGCTCTGACAACTGTGCTACTGTTGCCCCTTCAACACAACATTTTTATATAATATGTAAAAGGTATGTACACATTTGTACGTTTTTAAAGACAGATTTCTGCTGTTGTCAGGTTGCTGTGAACCCAATTCCTGGAAGCTACACCTTGACCCCAGTGGGCGGAGCTGAGCACACGTTCTGTCTCTGTGGAAATGAACGTGTGACCCGAAGCTGGACTCTGGATACTTCCAATCTGGGTGACGTTTACATTCATCAAGCGTTTTATAGGTTACTTAAAGCTGAGCCACTAAGATTTTTCCCATTTCATGCCTTGGACATGTGCTAGGGCAATCTTTGCTAATTCCCATTGCATTGCTAGCAGCAAAATGTGAACTCTAATTATATAGCAACAATTCATAATAAGAGTTTGATAAAATCCAAGGGTCACCAGTATATTGTTTAATTTTTTCTTAAATTATAACGATTATTAATATTTTATAAACAAACATGAACACATCAGCAGACAAACACACACACGTCCAGGGAAGTTAAAATATTAAGATCTTTAGGTGTATATTTATTATAGTTTTCCTCAGGCAAGTAGCCATTTGCAACAAATACTGCAAGATTCTTCTGGATTAATCAAGGTCAAATGTATGATAATCACTCAATAAGGTTAATAAAACTGTTAATTTTGTCTTGCAGGCACCGTGAACGTGACGGTCAGAGCAGAGGCTGTTGCATCTCCTGTTTCCTGTAACAATGAGATTGTCCATGTGCCCCCGAGAGGCCGCGTGGATGAGGTCACTCGCCCTCTCATCGTGAAGGTACACACTATTATGATTTACTTTAGGAAGTCTACTAGTGTAACAATCAAACTGTACAGAGTGGATTGGATCTGGAATGACAGAGGAATTGGCTCTAAACTAAGACTACACGTCTGACAGTTACCATAGTTATGGCAAAAGATGTTTCAATTGTTCTTCAACACAATGTTAAACAATAGGCTTTTTGGAATGTTGTGATGTCGCATGAACACAACCTATTCATGTTGTTTTCATGATCTGAGTTTAGTAATATCCTTATTGTAACAAATAAAATGATGACGTTTTATGTATTTTGTAGAACAAATGTTTTATGATTTTTATTATACGTACATATATTTCTCATTTAATTTAGCAAAATATTGTTCTTCTCAGCCTGAGGGAATTGAGATGTCAAACACACACAACCTGCTGCTCTGCCCTAAAGGTAAAATCCCCTGTCAACGTTTTGCAATGTATCATTATCATTACAACCGAATAACCTGTAAAACTGTATAATACACAGACGAGACTTTGACAGAAGAGCTTGCAGTTAAACTTCCTGATGACATGATTCCGGACTCTGCGCGAGCGGCAGTTTCAGTGCTGGGTAATGTGATAAAATAATTTTTTAAAAAGTTTATATTTACTTACTTGTGTTGAATTCTAGGTGACATTTTGGGTCGCGCCATGAAAAACCTGGATGGCTTGTTGCAAATGCCTTACGGCTGTGGGGAGCAGAACATGGCTCTCCTGGCTCCGAATATTTACATCCTGGAATATCTGGAAAAGACAAACCAGCTCACTCAAGAAATCAGAGATAGAGCCGAACAATTTCTGACCAGCGGTGAGATATTTTTTGTAAAAACTGGAAATTTGTAAACATCAACAAAGAATGTGAAGTTTTTTGGGAAGAAATATTTTTTTGCCAGGTTAGATGCATTGCAATATTGGTGAATGTCTCTCTGATACCTTTATTCAATCTGACATATAAAACCATTTCTGTTTTGTGAAGAACATGTCACACAAGGGAACAGTTGTGAAGTGCACTTTATGGTTCCAGGCGCATTCCAGAAAACAATCACATCCCTGAATCTTTTAAGCAGCACTAACCCCAACCCTAACTCTTGACGTTTTCTGAAGCTTTTCTTGTCTAAATTTACAAATGTACAAAATGTTGTGTGGTCCAATTAGTAATAGTTTAATCCTGGTCTAATGCAGACAATCTAGCTCCCAATTGGATAGTGATGTATTTGCACATTTGTTTATTGCTTGATCAGTTAATTTATCAAAACTTTACCATAGTTTCTCCGGGTGGTTGTTGTCTGTCCTATTTCCTATTGTTCGTATTTTCAGGTTACCAGAGACAATTGAACTACAAACACAGTGACGGAGCCTACAGCACTTTTGGAACAGGAACTGGAAACACATGGTGGGTTCCAAACACAGTAAATGCATTGGAGATAATAAAAACATTGTACAGATTTAGCATGCTTTGCTAAATGGGGAGGCACTGACATGGGGAGGCACTGACATGATTTCAGCATGCTTTTCTCCACAGGCTAAAAACATTGTACAGATTTAGCATGCATTTCTCCACAGGCTGACCGCTTTTGTCGTGAGAACCTTTGTGAAAGCCAAACATTTTGTCCACATCGACCAAGCAAATATTGATGAATCAAAGATGTGGCTGGAGTCAAAACAGGAGAACGGTTGCTTTGCGATGCTTGGGAAACTGTTTCACAACAGAATGAAGGTACCATTAACTTTGTGCATCCAAACCATAGACTGTATATATTAACAGACAGAGTCATGCCTATCTCCGCCGTTCTAACTAATGGGCCAAAAAATGTGCTCTACTGGAGCAATCCAAAATGGTCGCGAGTGGTCCCGCCCACAAGAAAATTGTGAAAAAACGCATCTGCGCATGCGTCAGCCGGCGCAGCTCCATTCATTTGAACGAGAGACTTCAAAAATTCACAGCAAGTAAACTAGAGTGGACCAAAAAAATCCACCCCCCTCAGCATTGGCACACATGTGGAACGGAGCTTTGGGCCAACTTTTGGTCCATCCTGTGAAGACGTTTTGAGAGGTCTGCCAATGCTATATGTTAGCATTGGCTAATTCTACTTCTGGGTCCACCCCAGGGACGTGCGGTGAGGTTTGTGATTGGGGAGGCACTGACTTTAAAAGTCAGATTTACAATCATTATTCAAATAAAATAGCATTTAATCACCAATGCAATGACATCCACAAACTTTATATACTGTAAAGATAAGAGAACCAGCTTCTTTTAATAATCTCACAACAAATCTAGCTGCTGACTCTGCTCCGCATCAAACAACATCTTTAAGAAGCGCAGGTGCGAGAGACGCGAGGAGAGAGAGACGCGAGGAGAGAGGAGCAGAGAGAGACAGAGAGGAGCAGAGAGACGGAGACGCGAGGAGCAGAGAGAGACAGAGAGGAGCAGAGAGAGACGGAGACGCGAGGAGAGAGAGACGCGAGGAGAGAGGAGCAGAGAGAGACAGAGAGGAGCAGAGAGACGGAGACGCGAGGAGCAGAGAGAGACAGAGACGCGAGGAGAGAGAGACGCGAGGAGAGAGGAGCAGAGAGAGACAGAGAGGAGCAGAGAGAGACGCGAGGAGAGAGAGACGCGAGGAACATAAACAATAATTTAAACAAGTTGCAGAACTCTTGAGCAGTGTTTGAATCAGTGTTTTTCGGAAAAGCACTACTTTGCCGGTATCTGTCAATGTTCAACATACAACACAGATTAACAAACTCCTCCCCCGCAGCCGGACTAACCTCGTAAGTCCAGTGGTGGTCTCCCAGTCTATATTAATTCTTTCTTTGTTTGAAAGTCCAATTGAGAAAAAAAATCTTCATTCAAATCATCCATTTTCCAGCAAAAGAAATAGCATTTTGGGCTGATTGTTTGTTAGCAACTCTGGTATGAACTTTATGCTCACTATCACCCCTAGCGGTGAGGCACAGATACCGCCTGCCTCACGCCAAGCTTTTTCCTTGTGTGTTCATCTACGATCAAAAGACTTAAACTAAATATAAATTGTACACACATACGTGCAATACACTACTAAACACTAAGAGGAGTTTAAAAAATGTTTTTAAAGCAGGATATTTGAAACAAACGGTGATATATCAACTGCACGAGCTGAGTGCACTCAGACACACACACACACACTGTGAGGGAGCGGTCTGGGGTGAGGCACGCAGGAGCGCTGCCTCACCTCGTCTCTTTGAATAGGAATAACGGGATTTCGGCGATTTTGACTTCAGAAATGATCAAAACTGATGGGAACCGTGCCGAATATACATTAAAAGCATAGGACAGTGGATATAAATTATATATTTAAACTAAAATAATTATTAGTTTCCAATAATGGCAGGTGAGGCTCTGCCTCCCCTGACTGCACGTCCCTGGTCCACCCCCATCGGCCCGGGGTGGTATTGCAAGCATGTCAGCGCATGTCGTTTTGGCCACTTTTGAGCCGAGACCCGCCCCCACTGATCCAAACATGTATGCTGGGCGACCTAACTTTCCAACCATAACACAGTAGAGCTATGTACTAAAATACAACTACCTAGTTTTTGCACAAACAGTTTGGTTCATTCAGAATTTTTCACATGCATGTTTTTTGAGCCTATGTCACATCAGCTTTTTCAGACAGAAAAGTGGAAAAATAGGACCATCCCCAATCAGCTCCCAGCCCAGGGCTCTTTCTGAGTATGCATAATACACTGTAACATGGGTCTTTAAACAAAAAGAAGGCAGCATGTTTTGGTCTGATTTGTTTAGACTATTCTTTGGGGACAAACATAATGTAGTATTTATGAAGCAGAAGTAGCTAGGGTACCAAACTACTTAAGGCTTAGGCCAAGGCTTAGGTAGCTTATAATGTAAGTGGTTGTGCTAGGATATCCTTTCCTCAAGTCTATGCATTCTTTTTCAGGGAGGAGTTTCAGATAATGTAACGTTGACCGCCTACATCTCTGCTGCTCTGTTGGAGATGGGAGTGCCTGCAGATGTAAGTATAACATGTATTTGCCATTCAATATCTAAACCCTGTTGTGTTATGTAGCAATGATATGACTTCTGGTTTCTAAAGTAATGTTTTGGATTTCAGAATGAGAAACTATCCAATGCCTTAACCTGCCTGAAGGAGTCGATGAACGATTTGAGCAACACTTACACCACGGCCCTGATGGCCTACGTCTTCACTTTGGCCAATGACTTAACAACCAGGACACAACTGCTTGACCATCTCAACACTAAGGCACACAGAGAGGGTGAGTTTATACTGGGTTACATTTACTAGTGCAGTTTAAGTCTATCAATACATTTCAAATACTTCAAAGAGTACATTTTTGACAGCGAGAGTACCTACACACCTGAACAGTAGAATGTTTGTTCATAACTTACTGGGGGGAAAATTCACTCTGAAAATCAGGAGCAATATGTGGTTGTCTCAGGTGGATTGCTCCACTGGTCTCAGACGTCAGCTGAGACTTCTGCTTCGCTCTCGGTGGAGATCAGCGCATATGTGCTGCTGGCTCTGCTCGGGAACAATCCTGGTCCAAACGACCTGGGCGTCGCTTCCAACATTGTGCGCTGGTTGACCAAACAGCAGAACTACTATGGAGGCTTCAGCTCCACACAGGTACAAATCTAGTCTGATTTAAAAACATTTTGAATGACATTTCTTTTGTATATTAATGTATTATTTAATGTATGATTCTTTCAGCCATCTATTTATTCTTGTCAATCTCATGCTTCAACCTTCTTTTTTTCCATTTCCAGCTGCTGTACTACTTTGTATAACTTCATCATTGTACAGTTTGCACAGGACATAATATACTATCATATCATGTGCAAAAAGACACATAAATGCAACAACTACTACTAGTACTACTTTTAAAGCTTTCACTCATCAAGACAATGTAAATCATATCTGAAGGAGAAGTGCAGTAAACACAAGTATTAAAAATAAAAAATAATGTGCAATAATACTTACCTAAACTACATTTGTAATACTTTATCTTTGACATGGGGGTTCTGTTACATAAAATACAATGATTCCATCTACTTCTTCTCCAGGACACTGTGGTGGCTCTTCAGGCCTTGTCTCTGTACTCCACTCTGGTCTACAGTCCTGGTGGTCAGAGCACGGTCACGATCATTACTCCCAGTGGTTCTCAGACGTTTGATGTGAACCAAAACAACAAGCTGCTTTACCAGGAGACAACCTTCCAAAACGTGGAGGGAGATTACAGCGTGAGCGTACAGGGCAACACCTGCGCTGCCATTCAGGTCAGTGAATGCACCACAGCCACCATCCTGTCCCTGTTTTTAACCAATTAGATGCATCAACTGTATTGTATTTGATAAAGCTGGATTACTTAACTTTGAAACCACAAAAATTATAAGAACTATGACATTCATGTTTCCATCCACTTCCTATAGCTTTCAAAACTGTTTGGTTCTGTTACTAGTTTTAACATGCATGTAAGTACCAGCCCTCGCTCGGTCATTTAGCTCTCAGTATGTAAAAGATTAAATATTGATAGGGTAAGACGGTATGTTGTGGTCTGAATTGTTCATCAACAATTCATCATCAACATGTATTTATGACAACAACAAAAATAACATACTATTTTGTGAACAAATCAGCCCGCAACATGTTGTCCTCAAGTCAGAAAATTAGAATAGAAAAGGGGTCTTCAGTTTTTCACTTTTCTGTTAGGAGAATATAATCTATACTTGTTATAAATATACATGCACGGGATAGAAGAAAACTATTTTGAGAACAAGAAACTAGTTTGATGGATATTACTGAAAAGTTAACATTATCTGTGGTTTTAGTTTAGGTTAGACATATTAATCCACATCATATTTGTTTTAGTGTCTCTGTTGTGCAGCCGTGTTGTAAAGTTATTTTGAAATAATGCTTCCAGATTGCTCTCATGTACAACGTCCCGACACCCACCGTCACCTCTGCATTCAAAGTTGATGTGACTCACAAGGTCGACTGCGACAGCAACTTACTGAGACCCAAAATGAACCTCTTCTTCAAATCAGAGTGAGACCAAAACTCCAGCGAATGCATTTTGATTATGTTATCTTTACCATCTATAACCACTTCTACTCTCATTTACAGGTATAATGGGGACCAGGAAACCTCCAACATGGTCATCCTCAACATTAAGATGCTCTCTGGATTCAAACCAGATTCTCGGTCTCTGAAAGAGGTATTTGAAAAGCGCTTTTTTTGTTTTGCGCGTCTTTTTTTTTTGAGATTTAGTTAACCCTTTAGGCATCTGAGTTTCTTCAGAAATGTGAAACATTCAATAGGAAGATCCCTGAAATGTGATGGAGGGCTTCTACAATTAATATTATAATTAAATTTAGAAAGACAAATGTAGGGAAATGTTTTCAGGAAGCCAGGTTGCTGTATAGAAAGTGTTCAGCATTCAGGAGCGCATGAAGAAGATATATAATGCAGTATTTTGGTTCTTAAACTTGCTAATGGGACTATTCACTTGGTTTTTGAAGCAAAAATAATGAACAAACATATTTTAAAGATCAATAAGCTCTTAGCATGTAGTACTCACTTCTGCCATCAGGAGTATATGTTGAATTTGTGTGGGTTAAATTTAAAATCACACCTTAGTTCTGCATACATAGATAATTTCACCAGATAAATTGAGTTTGTTTATTTGTTTATTCGGTCATGCAAATTATTATTATTTCTTGACATAAAAAGGCATTAACAAAAGGACAAGGTTGCAAAAACAATGTATCTTATGTCAGTAATGAACATGCTTTAACATAGATTTACAAACGCAGTTGTGACCGAAGGGATTAGGCTGAAGTATAACTTTTTTTTTTTTTAAATTGACAAAACTTGAGTTTGATGGAGATAGAATTTAGAGGCTATGATTTGGATTCAGCTCAAGACTGAGGCAGGACCATTCAGATATAATATTTACAGTCTATGGTTCAGACACACTAGCATGAATGAAGCTCAAAACAACTCGAAATCTGTTTTGATGGTTAAAAGCTCAGCAAATATGATTTTGCGTATCAAGTCTTGATTCATCTAAGCTGCAGCTGACCTAACACAATGTTTCATGTCAGATTGCATCATATCAGGCTTTGAAAATTGAAATTGGTAATAACTGAGTAAATGCAGTCCATTTTTTATGTGTTTGAACATCAATGATATTCAAATGATATAAAAAGCCCAATTCCCTCACTAATGTTCCTACTTGCTTTGAGGTGTTTTTAAAGATTTTCAAAATGGTATCTTTAATGTCAAAAATTATCACAAAATATGTGTGTGTGTGCATCTGCGTGTTTAAGCTGGAGGGCGCATTGCTGGTCGAAAGGATTGAAAATGACCAAAAGGACAATGACCATTATTTGGTCTACCTGAAAGAGGTAAGAAAATCTCATATTTAACCTGATAATTTGGGAAAAAATTAGTCAGATTGAAAATGTTTTTGTATTCTTCCTTTAAAAGCTACCGAAAGGCATCCCCATCAATCATCAATTAGTGGTGGTACAGGAACGCGAAGTGAGTAACCTGAAGCCCGCCGTGGTGGTACTCTACGACTACTACCAGCCCAGTACGTACCATCATGAATAAGAAAAAAATTAAATAAGGTTCAAGTCTTTGCCATGGATTTAAAAGAATGGTTTATTTCCATTTCAGGCGACAGTGATGAGACAGAGTACAGTTACCCCTGTGCTTGAGGTAAGAGGTGATGCAGTCAGCAAAGTCAGTTCAAATGACGAAAAATAGCAATTCTGTTGAAATTGTAACTAATACAATTATCTTCTAGCAATGCGTTCTATTAATGCTCCATACCTAACTTTAAATCCACAGAAAATGTAACTATGCAATAAAATATGTATAACTTGTTAGTATAGTGTATGTTTGTAAATAAATTAGGTACCCCAGCTTATATCTATTATGTATTTTTTTTTTGACAAAAACTAGTTCACAAACCAGGAATTTGTTTTGGCATTATGGTACAACAACACAGGCATGCATGCATACACTGAATTAATACATTGTGATCATTTAAGTCATATTTATAACCTAACTATCTCGCATTTTCTCTTTTAGGTTGATGATTCACGGATGCATCTGGAGTTTGAATAAATAAACATGTAATGAATTGTGTTGTTGGTGTTATTCAATGGAATTTATGTTACACTTGGTACAATTGTATGATTGGCAGAAGGGACTTTTCACAATAAACTGGTTGTTTGGGCCACATGCTGTCTTCTACTTTTATCTGTGGTCAATGAATTTATTCTCTCGATATAGGTTTGTGCTAAGAAAACAAAATCAGGTCCCTGTGATACAAATCCATGTTACCTGATTAACAACACCCTGCGTATAGTTTAATAGAACCTTTTTTTTTTTTACTCTTGTATCGTCACATTTACTTTTTGGAATGCCTTTTGTCTAGATATTCTCTTTGCTGGGGACTTAATGATAAAAACCACAGAACATTACTGCTCTAGTAGTCGTTTAATTTGTTATTGACATTGATGTACTATATATTCATATGAGAGATTTTAGTATTGCTTTTGAAACACTTAAACAACATAGGCAATTAAAGACACTATTACAAAAACATAAGTCAAGTGCTGCCAAAGGGTCATGTGAACTTACAGTAAAAGTACGACTGACCTCTTCCAACCAGTTTTTTATGTCCTATCATCTTAGAACTAAATTGTCTTTTTAAGAAAGCAGAAAGTATATATCCATCCATCCATCCATCCATCCTTTTCTACCCTTTAATTGATTTATAGGTCAGGGGGGTGGAAATCAGAGATGCCACCCAAGTCTCATAGCACCAGCCCCTCACTGATCCTCTGCAGGTGGTGAGTCCACAGGAGGACGGCTGCTCTCTGAGTGTGAGCATAGCCTTGATCTTTCAGTGGGGGGTTTGGGCAAAGTGGGGTTAAGTGTCTTGCCCAAGGACACAACGACAGCAGTCATCAGTGGGAGTTGGTGGAGAAGGTGTAGAGGTGGGAATTGAACCCACGACCTTCAGGCCTGAAGGCCAATGCTCTACCAACTGAGCTACTGTTGCAATAAAGTATATATATTTAATTTTAAAAGTAACAATGGTGTTTGAAAGGTTAGTGGTAAAGTACTGAAAATAAAATACTTAGTCACTTAAACGCCCGTGTACGTGTCATTTGAGTATGGAAAGCAAGCTTTTCAGGTAGCAATGCAACAACTGATTATTCATATGACGTATATAAGTACAGAGTAACGACAATCTCAACTGACAGCCTTTTTCAACCCTGGTCCATTTGTATTGTAACTGCATTACACCAACTATTGCACTAGAGTTATAATTTTTTGTGTTTCAAAATCACATATGGTAATGTAGCAAGCGACAAATGCAGTGTTTTTTTTGTTTTTTTGTGAGAACGAATTGGCTTGTAGTTCTGGTGTGCACACATTTTTTTGTGGCCTATGGTATGAGATAAGGCCAAAAGCAGACCCCAACCCCAGAAATAAGATGATATTTCCAACCTTCTTTTAGTGACTCATTAACTGTGTCATGATTTACGATAAATTACTCATTCTAACAATGATTGATGGACAAAAGGTCATTGACGTAGATGCTCTTATATTCTAAACTACGGATAAAAGTGTATTTACCGTTTTAAAGTTTGACTCTTCAATTAGCATTTTTCACACTGGAGGAACCTGTTTCTGTTCCAGGTTTGTTCAGTTTTTCCTGGTTTGAGCTCATTCACACACATTGTGGAATGTTGCAATTCAGAATGTCCACCAAAACTCACTTTATCTACTTATTATCCAGCCCTATATGTATACAACTTTACACTATATGTGTAATATATTACATGTATATTATAGGCCCTATATATATTGCATGTATATTATAGGGCTCAGAGAGAAGCTGGAGAGGCCCTGGAGGGTAAAGGTGACAGTAGTGCCCGAGGTGATCGGTGCACTCGGGGCAATGACCCCGAAGCTGGAGGAGTGTTTACACCAGATGGAACAACTTTAAAATTCTTGGTCCAGAAATGTGCAGTGCTAGGAACAGCAAAGATACTGCGCAGAACCCTCAAACTCCCAGGCCTCTGGAAGATGACCCAAGCTAAGAGAGGGATAACCGCCCGCGGAGGGCGAAAGGTAGCAAAGTGCTCTGTATGTGTGCTGCAACATTGAAATTTCCCCATTGTAGGACGAATGAAGGTTCTCTTATCTAATTCATTTCTACTTCTACTTCTAAATCTGAGTTTGAGTTTTTTTTCTAGTTATCAGAATAAACCTAGTCTACATTAAAGCCAGAGTACATTAATATGAGACAAAAAAAATAAACAAACTTTAAATCGCTTACAAAAAGAGATTATAAGCTCCCAGCATGTTGTTTAGAGATTTGTACAAAAAATATTACTTACATGATACTCTTTCTGTTATGACAAACATAATTTATTTATGATAAAACAAACAGCTGTAAACATGTTCTGTTAAATCCCTTGAAACTATTGTGTTGCATTTTTTACCCTACGTTTACCCATCAATCTTTGGATGGGTAAAAAATACAAGTTGTTTTTGATGTTGGGGGCGTGTCCTGTCTGATAGAGGCGTGTCTTCTTTTGTGGTGCATATTTAACTGTTGCAGAGAGGGGAGTACACCTGGTCAGTCATGGGTCGTCCTGGGATGCAGATGGAGACATGGGTGCTGTTTGTGGCCTTCGGGTGTATGTGTGTGGGGCAGGCTCTCGCAGATCTGTGAGTAACATTGAGAAATAGCTGCAACACAGTGACGATAACAAATATATATTCTATGCTCAGTTTTTGCCTTAATTTGATATTTAAATGTAAATGTTTGTCACTAGAAAAGTCATTGCATTCATAATTTGCATAAAGTCATGTATATGCTAATTTTACCCAGAAATGAACCCAGCAAATTATGATATCAAAGTTACAATATAAAAATAAAAGAAACTGGCATGAAGGATAATAAAATACTTAGATGTATTGTCAATATGCTTTTGAATTTCTCTTCACGTAAATTGTAATTTTCTTTCATGAGTAGTTTTATTAATTCAGCACCATTTTCATTTCTAATGTAGCTTGATTTGGAGTTTGCACCATCTCTTTGTCTGCAGATTGTACTTTGTCCCAGTCCCGGCTGTGTGGGAGTCTGGAGCTCAGGTCAGGTTTTGTGCGAGTCTTTTGAAAGTGGATAAAAATGACAAGCATAAGATGACCGTGACGCTGCTGTCCCCGGAGCTCAACACCACCCTCCTGCAGAAAGAGTCCAACCAGGATTTTCATACCTGTAGCACCTTCCTGGTATAAACATTTTTCATTTATTGGGACTTAAAACGTGTAATGCTGTGAAGTACTTGGGTCTTCAAGGCTTGAATCAAATATATTTCTATAGTTAAGTATTAGCAGTATTTGAACAACACTATAAGGTGGGACTTTATGTATTTATTTATAAAACCCCAGTCAACTAGTTTTTGACTAGTTTTTGATGTTGCTTGTATATGAATCCTAATGATAAACAGAATGTATCATAAACTGTCTTGTAACTTTCTACACTGCTATCTCAGAAGCCACTGGTCACAAAAACCTGTCCGGGCTTGTTTTCTAATTAGGCCCAAACCCCAACTGGGCGTACGACTTATTTTTCCCTAAAGAGTAATTTCTCAGTGAAACCTGTATGACATTTAGGCATAACCCACGAAACACATAATCATCATGTGAAGATGCACAAAAAAGTGATTATGGCCACACCCGCTGACAACCCGCTGAGCTCATCATTTGAATTGAATGTGAAAAACTGAAGATTAGCCATTTAAAACATCCCTTTCTATACGTGTCACAGACAGGGCACAAAATCACCACATTCAACGTGTGGAGAGAATTGGTATGATTGAGAGATTGAGAATTATCTTTTTTATTTTATTTTGTCTTTTTAAAAGTCTAATTCAAGTTTCATTCACTTCCCGGGACTAGGTCACCTAAATGCATAAGAACAGCTGACTCAAAATAATTGCAGTAACAGTAGTCTTGAGTTAAGTCTACTCACTTCAACTAATGAAACCTTACTCTTCCTAACAAACTACATTGAAGCAAGGTAAATCAAAGGGATTTACATACATTTATTTATTTATCAAAAAACAAAAAAAATATATAAAAAAACATGGACACACATCAGTCACTCAGAAATGGTTTTGTTGGACTGTTGTCTCTGTGTGTTCTCCAGGCCCCTCTGGTCATAAAGGACACGGTGCAGCACTTCCAGGTGGAGGTGATCGGGAAAAAGATGTACTCCCGGGAAACTCGCAAAGTTCTGATCCGTGCCAATAAACCAGTGACATTCATCCAGACAGACAAGCCAATCTTCCTCCCAGGACAAACTGGTAATTTTGTAAATTTCACAGCACCAAAAGATACTGTATCTATCTGCATAAGAACATTCTGGAGGAGTCAAACAAGGCAAAGATAAGAAAACAAAAAGATAAGAAAAAAGGACAGAATAGTAACATTTGTAACACTTTATAAGTTAGCAAAAAATACAGAGTGTGCCATGAATTGATCTTGATTCACATATATCTACTTTAATTGCTGGAATTTCCTATTGGTGAAACAACATTGTGACGTTCTATGAAACAGCTGTTGTTGAAATTTGTGGCTATACAACAGATTGTGATTTCCAGGGGATGCTCCAAACTCATTATGTGAATGTTATTAGTGCATTTTGATTTATCGTACAGAGAGTAATTACTGGTGACACAATTAAAAACAATGTGTCTAGAAGCAGTGATCTTTTTGTTAAAATAACCAGCTAAAATGCTGTTGAATTATCTTAATTTTTTCAACCTTTTTCAATTTACAAATCAAATCCACCGCAAACCTCATGTTGGGGTCTTTTTCCTTCTCAGTGTATTTCAGGGTGGTGACAATGGACACAAAGCTGAGGCCGGCCTGTCGAAAGGTGAGTGACTCCATTGATTTGATCGAGCCACAGTGACCTGGACCTGTTGCATCAGATCCATTTGCACAGTGAATACAGAACCTCAGGGTCACACCTCCCACACTTAAAGTTACATCATTTTGAGGTTATTTTGATTTCTTTCCCCTTCTTACAAACCTTGTGATATGATTGCTAGGTCCCACAAGCTGTAGGTAACCTCTGAAAATTGTGTGTGTGTGTGTAGTGTGTGCATGCATGTTTGTGTATGGTTTTCAACGTGTTCATATTGAACATGATTTCCGATTGATGCGTTACTTAGATATATTGTGATGATTTACTTTTTCTTCAGAGATTGGGGTGGGGTCCAATAAGTTACACTTCTCCCCACTCCCTTTCAAGCATCAGTGTGTAGGTTACCGTATGTCTTCTTTCTTGTTTTTTTCTCAGAATACTATTTGCTTGAAATAAATAAATAGATACAAATAAATAAACAGCGAAAAAATTGCTTTTCTCTTTGAAGTATGATTGTATCTTTAAGTTGTTTTTCAGACTGTTTCTCAAATGTTGATATGTTCTTTTTCTTTTCTTTTGTTTCAGTATGATATCATCGAACTTCAGGTAAGTCTTTTGTATCAAGCATAACTATTCCAACTCTTTTCTATATAGTCTTTTATTAAAATATAGATGAAACTAATACAAGACTCTTTTTTACTTGTTTTCCAGGATCCACATGGTAACCGCATTGGGCAGTGGCTGAATCTCACTGCGGAGGGTAAAATAGTGCAGCGGTCTTTCGCCCTGAATTTTGAGGCCAAAGAAGGCAGTTACCAGCTCTCAGTGACCTCTGGAGAAGACACAATCTACCATTCATTCAAGGTGGAGAAATATGGTATGTTTAGTTTAATTATTTTTTCATTATGGAGGATTATACTTTGTACAAAACATCTTTTCAAATAGCACAGAATTACACATAGTTAAACATTCCACATGGTTCTAAAGACCTTATTTTTTCACTCAAAGAGGTATTTAACTTAAATCATACGTTTTCTGAGTCTTTTTATTGTCCTGCATTTGAAGTACTAAAAAAAATTCTATATTCACCTATCCCCTGTCAAAGTCAAAGTTAAGTTTATTTATTACACACATTTACAACTTAAAGAGCACAATGTGTCGTACGCTTCACACAAAACACAGTACATGTAAAGCACAATAACACAGAAAAATTCAAATAACCACATAAGAAGTGCTCCAAACAAAATCCATAGTCACCGAACACCTTTGATTCATTTAAATCATTGAGAAGCAACATCATTTATGGCCAACTACTAAATGCAACTATTTGTAACCCCCAGTTTTACCAAAGTTTGACGTCAAAATCACCTCGAAGGATGAAGTGAGCATTGCCCAGGAGGAAATCAGTATAAAAGCTTGTGCAGAGTAAGTTCAGTAAACTCAAATTATTTAAATGATTTATGAATGTTTATGATTGCAACACATCCCTCTCTTTAGATACACTTACAAGCAGCCTGTTCCCGGGATAGTGAAAATAGATGTATGCAGACCCATCAACAGATACATGTTTGGGTTCTCTCGAAACGAGGATGACGTTCCATCTGTGACTGCTCCATGCCACAAGGAGAGCAAAACGGTACAATGTCATTCTTACATAGAAACAAACAAGAAATAATAAGCAGAGTGCAAAATGATGAGTGGTTTAATCTAACAGTGTAATCTGTGTTTTCTCTTAGGCCGACGCGACTGGGTGTGCTGTGTTTACTATCCCAATGTCCACTTTCAAAGAAATTGACCAAAAGGCTCTCCTGGACACACTGGAGGTTGTGGTAGACATGGAGGAGGAGGGAACAGGTACGGTTTGCTTTAAATGTACACTACCACTACTACTAAGAATAATGATATTTATTTATAAAGCACTTTTCAAACAGCGTTACAAAGAGAACATAAAAGAAGGCATCCTTGATAAAAGAAAAGAAGGCACACATAGGTCAAACACAACGGAAAACATGATTCAACAATGCAAAACAATCAATGTTGGGGAGAAAACTGTTTTACAAGATGGTGAACACTTGCTTTGAATTGTATGTTGTAACATATTCCGTTCCCAGGTCCAGTCAGAGTACTGTATCCTAAATACTTGTAATACTTTTCTGCTCATTAACTCATTGTGTCCCATTGACGCACAAATACGTCAAAGCAAATAGTAACGTCGTGTGCCTTTTTCGCTATTTTCACGTTCCCAGATGTCTATTGTATCTAATATGTATGGGGATGACTTGAGACCATATTTTATCGAGCCAGCAGGTGGCAGCATTGCTCTCTGAATGGTTTGAAAACATGTAGGTGCACATGTTGTGCCTCTTTTTTCTCAACTTTCTGGTGATTTCTGGTGATTTCAGTAAAACTTCCCTCTACTCGACGGAGGATTACAGGGGAACGAAAAAAGCTATAAACAAAATTCTTTTTGCTGAGGAAAGTAGACAGTCCATTCTTTTAGAATCTGGTGTCGGATTTCAGATAGTCATAGTACACAATATTCTGTGGGTCTTGAAAAATCAGTAAAAATCATCAGAAATGGCTGGCACTGTGGGAGTACCTGTTCTGAAATAGGCTGGCATTCAATGAGTTAATAATGCAATTATGTGACAATACATCATTATTATACATTTTTCTATTTGAAACAGATTTGACACACCCACATACATCCAGGAACATTTTCATTAGTGTAATCTCTTGTCAAATGACATGATAAAATATTTAAATGTCTTCCCTATTAGTATTATTATTATTAAAATAATAATAATCATATGTTATTGTTATTAGATAAAAATCATAATCTAAATCATCCTATTTATATTATTATTTTGAGTAACTACATTCTGAATACCACCAGAAGAAAAAGTTACATATTTCAATAGACCGGTCAGAAATAGTGACCGGTCCTTCTAAGTCGCTGGACCCAGACTCTGGATCAAGCTGCCCCTGACATGCGTGTCCTCACTGATTTTGGCTTTTTTTAAATCGAGGCTCAAAATGTATTTTTTCAGAAGTTTTAACACCATTTCAATGCTTTTGAACTGTTTTATTGTTTAAATGCATAAATGTTTTAATGGATTTTATGTGATTGTAAAGGGCTCTATAAATAAACTGAAATAAAAAATAGTAAAATTGTACAATCTTAACAATTCACAAATGTGAATTGGAGCAAGAACTAAACATGATTTTAAAGTGATCAGTACAATGTTGTAGTGGAGTTAAAATAGGGGTTATGTGCTTCCTTCTTTTGAAAGCCAGTGACAAGTCTGGAGGCATGCTTTGAGAGGGATTTTACAGTTTGAAAGTTCAGTATCCCAGCTTTAATACGTCTTCTTTTATTTCACAGGGATCACATTCACGCAACATAAAAGAGTTACCATTTCATTCGTCGTTGGAACGCTGTCCTTTTTCGACACACCAAACATTTATGAGAAAGATTCCACTCTACAGGGGAAAGTAAGAATCTTGGAATTTTATTATCACTGCAACAACTGAATAATTTGAATATTTATGTTGCGTTATTGTGTTATAGGTGAAAGCCGTGGCCTATAATGAGCAGCCGTTGGTGAACAAAGCCCTGTACCTGTTTGAGGGAGAGCGCTGGTCATCAAGGCATCTACAGAACCTCACCACTGACAACAACGGAGTGGCTACTTTCTCCCTAGACACGTCAGCATACAGCGGAGAAATCCACCTCCACGTATGCTTTCTGACCTGACTGGTTATTAGGAGAGGACTGACCAAGGGCTGACATCACCATAGTGTTTGCCAAATGCAGACGAAGCCGATTTGAACATAATTTAGCTGGAGCCAATTTCTTTATACGGCCATTTGTTCCAATGGGGTTAGCTTCATGCCGTAACAGAGGATCTGATTGTAAATTCAGATCTGAGCCATATTAGGATTGACCAAAGAAGACAATATCACATATAAACACTATAGAGCGCTCAACCACTGATCTTTAAAGCTCAAAATGGGGAGTGTGACTCTCAACTGTGCTATAGAGTTTAATTTCCAATGTATGTCAATTGGAACCAAAGCGAGTTGGAGTAAAACTTTGTTCATGAGCACTTCCCTATTGGGCTGCATTGAGTTAGGGGGTTAGTACTGTCCATCTATATACTGTCTATCTACGGTTATAATCCAGCTTCAAAGAAATTATAGAAAAACTTGAACAAAAGTTGCCAATTGGAAATATGTTTATTATTATTATTGTTATTATTCTGTAGTGAAAACCAGTGTTTGTAACATTAAAAAAAACTATTTTAATACCCTGTAAGTTACGCTTAAGTCCTAACGTTTTTTTAAACCACAGATAAGTATTACGCCGGAGTTGGAGTACCCCAAATACAGAGAAGAACACTATGAGAATGGAGAAATCCGTGTGGCCTTTGCCCAGCAGTCCACTCTGGACACCAAGACTGTGAGCTCCCTGGAGGTGAAGAAGAACTCTGAGCCGTTCCCCTGTGACACTGAGCAGGACATCTTCATCAACTACTCTGTGGTCAAAGAGATGGAGGCAGAGATGGACATCATGTACCTGGTGAGACACTCATGGTTTAGTGTTGTGAGAGCACGATGTAGTGAATGTACTACTTTAGGTTGTAGTGTCGGCAACACAACTTGTATTTGTGAATATTGCGAGCAGGAATAAACTAGCCTTGCTTCAATCTGGAGAGACTCAGAAGACAAAATGCAGTTTGAATGTTTTTATTGATAGGTAGTTTGGCGTCCTAGGCCCCCGTGCGGCAATTAGGGCCAGCGAGGCTCCTGCTGAGTGCGCGCCCGATCCCCCCGAGGCATAGGAACTGGTGGTGGCATTAGAGCAGCAGGAAAGAGCGCACGCTTGAGCAAGGAGAGAGAGGCGGAGGAGGGGAGGCGGTGGTTTGCGAGGCTTGAGAAGGCCGTGAAATGGGAGTCTCCACTTTTAAGCTGCTTGCCTGGCCTGGTTGGCTGGGAATGGGCGTTTGCTGCGCGATAGGCCGAGGATGAGAGGCAGGCTTGGAGGGGATAGCTTTGGTAATCAGTCTACCAGAGTGAACCTTCGCGAGCTCCATTTCTGATCGGCTCTTTGAGTGTGACAACGTTGCATCCAAAAAATTGGCTCAATATTCTCTCTAGACAGAAAAGGCAAAAACATTTGGGAGGGTTTGTCACTAATGCAAAACAGTTTCAGGGTTTAGATCAGAGCCTAAAAACCCTCAACAAGCATTTAATTTACAGAATTTGAAACACAAATGATCATCATCATACACATGAACGTACGCAAAAATGTATTCATGAATAAAAATAAAAATACATTGTCTGTCCCACTATGTTCCAACACAACCCAACCTATGCTTCACATATTCTTCCAGGTCTATGGCAGAGATACCATTGTGACCCATGGGCTGAAAAGAATTCAAGTAAAACCAAACACAGGTAAATAAATGAAGATCTTTGGACACACTCTGATAATAAAAGCAGTGATACAGTAAATGTCTCTGTATTTCAGTGACTGAGGGCAGCTTCTCCTTCAAGTTACAAATTACAGCAGATTTGGCCCCTGTGTTTAATGTTGTGACCTACGCTCTCCTGCCCAGCCAATTCCCCATCGCTCACAGCGCCACATTTGAGACAGAGAAATGTTTCAACCACAAGGTCAGTAAAATATAACATGAAATATTCTGCAGCAAGTACACACAACCATATCTTTACTTGTTTATCTGCTTGATCAATTGTCATATCATCATTTAAATGTAAAAGATGAGTTACTGTTTGCTTGATAAAATATTTGCTACATTATTTTTCACTTATATATTTTTGGAATCAAGACAGATACATAACAGATACTGTATTCTCCTGCATTCTATTTACAGTATGTGTGTATAACACATAGCCTTGACTTTTCACAAAACATTATTAAGGCAGTTAAGCTTTTGCAAAATATTGTACAAATGTGTTCACAGTTGTGCCATGTTTCTAGATTTATCACTTTTTATTTCTGGTTTTGAAGGATGACATCACACTAGGGATATATTTTCAAAGATATGAATGGACAAATGATATTACACGTTTCATTTGTTTGTTGTAAATCATATTTATTTATTATCTATATTTTTTATCAAGGTATCCCCTTGAGATGAACCATCTCTTTTCCGAGGGGGTCCTATTAATTTATTTGACAAGGATATTGTGCATTAAATAAGAACATTTCTGTAAATGCACCAGAATTAACCAAGAACGCTATTTTTCATCTGCACAAATAGTTATCATCAGAATCTAATGAAACACACACATTCTAATGTCATGTTTTGTGTGTCCAGGTAAAGCTGGACTTTACCCCAGCTCAGGGCGTCCCGGGAGAAAAGGCTTCGCTGAGGGTGACGGCAAGTGCTTCGTCTCTGTGTGGAATCAGCGTCATCGACCAGAGTGTCCTCATCCAAGAGCCAGATAGATACCTGAAGCCAGAAACGGTTAGAATGCAACATCACCATTACACATAAGACTTACTGTATGTGGCGTGATTTATTGCTTAAAAAAATAAACATGAGAGGGGCTAATGCTAACACACTTCTTGGCAATAAGGACATTTCCCAAGGTTAATTCATAATGCGTTCATGTTGATGGAAACAGGTTTTCAAAGAGTTTTTTGTTGTTTACAGCTCCACTGTTCCACAGTTGCACTCACAAACACATACTCATTCACCCCAATCCAGAGTTTGTATTGCATTTTTAGTTTTTTTTGGTATGTATTTTTTGCAATGATCTCCAGTGCCTCAAGAGGTGGAAGCAGTGCTTTGCCAATGTAGGGTGAGAAAATGTCGATATCACACATAACTTAAGTTATGTGTGATATCGGAGAATTGGATAAAAAAACAACCATGTAATAAATACAATAATTGATAATAGCTTTATTTAGGGGCACCAGGGAATAACTCCCAACTGATAACGTGCATATGACGTCACAATATCAATTAATTGGCTCATTTATTGATTCAGTAATATCATGAGTCCTTTCATTATTTAATTAGCTAGTTAGTCCAATTCTCTTCAATAGAATCTGAAGGTAGTGAATTCTTTTACAAATCAGTGACCCAGTTTCTGGAGTTAAAAGTACAAATATCACTTTCAGACAAAGATGGTTTTGTAGATTTAATGAAGTATACACAATACAGACTAGATATGAAATATGCAAATTGTCAAGAATAACATGAAGGAAACGTTGATTTCAAGATACATTGTTAAAATGCTAGGCTAAAGTGAGCTAAGCAAGACCTTTGTCTATGAATGGATTGGTATAGGCTGAGGCCTGCATGTGTTCAGCCTTGGTAAGAGAAGTATTCTTTGAAGTGTAGGTTTTAATAAAGCCAACAGTGTGTGTAGCAAGAGAGCAGATCATACAACCAGAATGGCCTTTGGTGAATAGCAGTCCTTGGGTCTTGATGGTGTTGGATGGAGGCTTCTTGTCCCCGGGGCCTGGACCATGCGGCTGCATCATGTGGTCCTCCCACGATCCACAGTCTAGGTGCCAAAACTCAGCAACTTCTTCAGGTTGAAGCTGGAGGCTATTGAAGGGTTGTGGAAGTCCTCTCAGACGTGGAGCTGAGGTTTGAGGCCATCTAAGAGGCCCAAAGCCCCTTGGTTGCCTGAGCAGAGCCCAGGGCAGAGGGCAGAGCCCAGGGCAGAGCCCAGGGAGGTCTGGTCACTCCATGGTTCCAAAGCAGACTGGTTTGTCTTTCCTGTGGGTCCTTGTAAGTCTTCAGAGTCGTTGGGGGAAGGGTGTTGCCATGGCACTTATCTTAAGACATTCTTACCCACAATAAAACCTGAACCACAAGGATTTACACACAGTGGAGAAAGAAGTTATAATATGTCTCATTATACAACAAAATGTCTTTGATTGAGGAAAGAGGTCATTTTAATTTCTCCTACACCAACAACGTGTAAAGTGCGGGTTGAGAGATGCTGATCTCAACTGGGGATATTGTTGGGTGGTGGAAAGAATACTTCAAGGTTTGCTTCAGAGATTCAGGAGGAGCAGTGTGGTTTTCTCTCAGCTGCGGAACACTGGACCAGTTCTATACTCTCCACTGGATACTCGAGGGATCATAGGAGTTCGCCCAACCTGTACACATGTGCTTTGTGGATTTGGAAAAGGCGTTCCTCGGGGAACCTTTAGGGGAGTTCTCCGGGTGTTTGGGGTCCGGGGTCCTCTGCTGAGGGCCGTCCGGTCCCTGTATTACCTTCCCTACAGGGGCCGTCGGGTCCCTGTGTTCGCATCGCCGGCAGAATGTCAGACCTGTTGGCCTCTGCCCAGGCTGCCCTTTGTCACTGGTTCTGTTCACTGTTTTCATGGACTGAATTTCTAGGCACAGCCAGGGGCCGGAGGGGGTCCAGTTCGGGGACCACAGGATTTAATCTCTGCTCGGCTGGACCTGCAACATGCACTGGGGCGGCTTGTAGCCAAGTGTGAAGGGGCTGGAATGAGAATCAGTACCTCCAAATCTAAGGCCATGGTGCTCTACCGGAAAAGGTGCCTTGCCCTTCCTCAAGTGGAGGAGTTCAAGTATCTCAGGGTCTTGTTCACGAGTGGGGGAAGGATGGAGCGGGAGATTGACAGGATCGATGCAGCGTGCGCAGTGATGCAGTGTAGAGTACCTCCAGTTGGATTTTCTTTGTTTGGTAATGCAGTAAACCTAATTAATGAGTATTCAGTAAAAGATTATCGCACAGATTTGTGCCACACTACGGGATTTATTAATTCCATTGCCCATTCATTTATACGTTTGTTTGTATGTGTTTTCAGATATATGATTTGCTGCCTGCGAACAAATATGTCCCATATGAGATTCAGGACCAAATGGACTGTCTCTCTGTGCGCCCCAAACGATCAATTTTGCCCTTTCCAGTAAACAAAGATGATGCTCACACGGTCTTCCAGGTAAAAATACAGTTGTCCTGTGTTGGCAAGTGTACTTTCAACATATTTATATAAGCTATGTGTGAACATATAGCCTTATACCTCAACTAGGATGTTTATCTTTGACTCCCACTGTCTTGTACAAGTTAAACTCTGAAAATTAGATCATTGTTAATGAAACCGATACATGATATAGACTCATTATATACAAAGTGACGTAGGCCAAGCCTTTGTTTGTTATATGTTTTATGATTTTGGCTGATTTTGGTGTTTTCATGAACTCTGAGCCAATCACCAATATTATAGCATACCCTTATATATTCAAACAAAACACCAGAGCATACAGCAGTGGCCATGTTCTCCTGACTTGAAGGCAGGAGAATATAAATTCCATTGGTTTCATTTGCCTATCATTTAAAACAGTCCTTAGGCCATATTTACCCTTAAATGTTACACTATTCAACAAAAATGTCAGCTAATTTAGAAAATATACTATAATACAACCCTCTTATTTTGAATCAAACTTGCTGGCATAACCAATGACCCGTTTCAAAGTCAAAACCAATAACTAAAATAGTCCAAGATAACAAATAAGTAATCCCAGACACCAGCTATATTTTCCTTTATATTAACCAAACAACAAGTAGGCAGATGGAAGTGGTGTTTCACTATGCAGCTAATGTTCAGAATAATCAAGTCCCTCAAAACTAGAGAAGTATGGGATACGTCAAGACAAAAGAACATTGTGGACATTGTCACATTTTGCATTTAACATGTTGTTTTCTACAAGAACGCTGGACTGAAGATGGTCACAAATGTGATGATCCGTGTGCCTGACTGCCTCAAATATCTGGGTCGAGAATACTTCCAGGGGCATGGATTTGGTATTCACACTTATATTCTCTTACACAGGCTATTGTCTTCTAATGTTATACTTTTCATTACCTGGTTTCTAAAGTTAGGGAAATGCACTTTCAAGTTGCCAGAATGGAGGATCGGGTGGTGGCCATGGCTGCTCCCAATGCGATGGGTGCTGGTGGGGGTGGAGGTCTTCCACCGATTGTGTCGGTCCGAACCTTCTTCCCCGAGACCTGGATCTGGGACCTGGTGGAAGTTGGGTTAGTATAAAGAAGAAACCCTATAGTAATTTCGGTTACCCTATGGTAATTTCGGCTGGAGAGGCATTTAGTTGCTTAAAAAGATAATTAGAATGAAATTCAATTATACATATAGGAAACATGACGCACATGCCTATTGCATATTTGTAGAAATCTGGCTTTTCTACTTGAGTAAACTTAACATGCAGTGTATATCTAATCACATCACCAAAACGCTACCTTCTGTGCTGGTCAGTGAATCAATGAATCAATTTATTGTGCGCCAATGACGAAGCCAGGACTTAAGCTGGCTCCACCCTACGGGAACGTTTGTCTTCTGACATTTTAGGTTGTAACACAGACCAGAGACATAAGGATAATCCAAAATGATTTCCTGTTTCAATGTCACAGAGACCACACGCTTCACCTTTTTATAGAGAGTGGTACTAAAGCTTGAAGTAGAAAAAACACAGGTTAAAGTTTGAAATGTACAAGAACAAATAAATAGCTGAAAGATTGACATGAATTAATTCATCAATGTAAAAAAAAGTAATTGGCAATGTATTTCAGAACCTTTTCAGATCAGAGCCTGGGCACCGCTTCCAACATCATGCAAAGTAAATGCTCTTTATCAGTGGTAATTTCAATAGTACAAAGAGTAATGAGGGAAAAATATTGTCACAGTTTGGACACAAGCATATCGCAGGGCTCTCTAACCATTTTCAATCAGAGATGCTTATATACTGTTATACAACACCTAGTATTCAGTGTTCACACTGAATACTAGGTGGTATATGGTGCTTTTCAGAACCTCTGGATTCACGGACAAGCCCATCACCGTCCCGGACACCATCACGACCTGGGAGACGGAGGCCTTCTGTCTGTCCTCGAAGGGCTTCGGTTTGGCACCGCGTGTCCAGTTCACCGTGTTCCAGCCGTTCTTCCTGGAGCTCACCCTTCCCTACTCCATTATCCGAGGAGAGCGCTTCATCCTCAAGGCCACAGTCTTCAGCTACCTCGAGAGCTGCATGATGGTAACTCTAGTTCTATGCAATTAAATCATTACTAATTAAGCCCATAAAAGACAATACCAATGAACCACACAAGCTAGAACACAACACTTCAAAATTTCTATTCTCTGGGGAAAGTAGAGTAAGAAAAACAAAATACTTTAAACAAATGTTCTATAATGAATGTGATAAGTGGACCTAATGAAGTTAGTAAATAAACACCATCCATCCATCCTTTTTCAACCCCTCAATCCAATTCTGGGTCGAGGAGGTGGCAATCAGCTGCCACCCAATTCACAGAGCGCCAGCCTCTCACTGGTCCTCCTGCAAGTGATGAGTTCCCTAGAGGATGGCTGCTCTGTTGGTGACGTTAAAGCCTTGATCTTTCAGCGGGGGCTTCAGGCAAAGTGGGGTTAAGTGTCTTGTCCAAGGACACAACGGCAGCATGTATCAGCGGGAGTCAGAGGAGAAGGTCTCGCTGTGGATTCGAACCCACAACCTTCAGGCACAAAGGTCAAAGCTCTGACAACTGTGCTACTGTTGCCCCTTCAACACAACATTTTTATATAATATGTAAAAGGTATGTACACATTTGTACGTTTTTAAAGACAGATTTCTGCTGTTGTCAGGTTGCTGTGAACCCAATTCCTGGAAGCTACACCTTGACCCGGTGGGCGGAGCTGAGCACACGTTCTGTCTCTGTGGAAATGAACGTGTGACCCGAAGCTGGACTCTGGATACTTCCAATCTGGGTGACGTTTACATTCATCAAGCGTTTTATAGGTTACTTAAAGCTGAGCCACTAAGATTTTTCCCATTTCATGCCTTGGACATGTGCTAGGGCAATCTTTGCTAATTCCCATTGCATTGCTAGCAGCAAAATGTGAACTCTAATTATATAGCAACAATTCATAATAAGAGTTTGATAAAATCCAAGGGTCACCAGTATATTGTTTAATTTTTTCTTAAATTATAACGATTATTAATATTTTATAAACAAACATGAACACATCAGCAGACAAACACACACACGTCCAGGGAAGTTAAAATATTAAGATCTTTAGGTGTATATTTATTATAGTTTTCCTCAGGCAAGTAGCCATTTGCAACAAATACTGCAAGATTCTTCTGGATTAATCAAGGTCAAATGTATGATAATCACTCAATAAGGTTAATAAAACTGTTAATTTTGTCTTGCAGGCACCGTGAACGTGACGGTCAGAGCAGAGGCTGTTGCATCTCCTGTTTCCTGTAACAATGAGATTGTCCATGTGCCCCCGAGAGGCCGGCGTGGATGAGGTCACTCGCCCTCTCATCGTGAAGGTACACACTATTATGATTTACTTTAGGAAGTCTACTAGTGTAACAATCAAACTGTACAGAGTGGATTGGATCTGGAATGACAGAGGAATTGGCTCTAAACTAAGACTACACGTCTGACAGTTACCATAGTTATGACAACCGAATAACCTGTAAAACTGTATAATACACAGACGAGACTTTGACAGAAGAGCTTGCAGTTAAACTTCCTGATGACATGATTCCGGACTCTGCGCGAGCGGCAGTTTCAGTGCTGGGTAATGTGATAAAATAATTTTTTAAAAAGTTTATATTTACTTACTTGTGTTGAATTCTAGGTGACATTTTGGGTCGCGCCATGAAAAACCTGGATGGCTTGTTGCAAATGCCTTACGGCTGTGGGGAGCAGAACATGGCTCTCCTGGCTCCGAATATTTACATCCTGGAATATCTGGAAAAGACAAACCAGCTCACTCAAGAGACCAGAGATAGAGCCGAACAATTTCTGACCAGCGGTGAGATATTTTTTGTAACAACTGAAAATTTGTAAACATCAACAAAGAATGTGAAGTTTTTTGGGAAGAAATATTTATTTGCCAGGTTAGATGCATTGCAATATTGGTGAATGTCTCTCTGATACCTTTATTCAATCTGACATATAAAACCATTTCTGTTTTGTGAAGAACATGTCACACAAGGGAACAGTTGTGAAGTGCACTTTATGGTTCCAGGCGCATTCCAGAAAACAATCACATCCCTGAATCTTTTAAGCAGCACTAACCCCAACCCTAACTCTTGACGTTTTCTGAAGCTTTTCTTGTCTAAATTTACAAATGTACAAAATTTTGTGTGGTCCAATTAGTAATAGTTTAATCCTGGTCTAATGCAGACAATCTAGCTCCCAGTTTGGATAGTGATGTATTTGCACATTTGTTTATTGCTTGATCAGTTAATTTATCAAAACTTTACCATAGTTTCTCCGGGTGGTTGTTGTCTGTCCTATTTCCTAATGTTCGTATTTTCAGGTTACCAGAGACAATTGAACTACAAACACAGTGACGGAGCCTACAGCACTTTTGGAACAGGAACTGGAAACACATGGTGGGTTCCAAACACAGTAAATGCATTGGAGATAATAAAAACATTGTACAGATTTAGCATGCTTCATTTCTCCACAGGCTGACCGCTTTTGTCGTGAGAACCTTTGTGAAAGCCAAACATTTTGTCCACATCGACCAAGCAAATATTGATGAATCAAAGATGTGGCTGGAGTCAAAACAGGAGAACGGTTGCTTTGCGATGCTTGGGAAACTGTTTAACAACAGAATTAAGGTACCATTAACTTTGTGCAGTGCATCCAAAAACCATAGACTGTCTATATTACAGACGGAGTTCATTGCCTATCTCCGCCGTTTAACTAAGGGGCCAAAAATGTGGCTCTACTGGAGCAATCCAAAATGGTCGCGAGTGGTCCGCCCACACGAAAATTGTGAAAACGCATCTGCGCTGGCGTCAGCCGGCGGCAGCTCATTCATTTGAACGAGAGACTCACAAATTCACAGCAAGTAAACGAGAGTGGACCAAAAAAATCCACCCCCCTCAGCATTGGCACCACTGTGGAACGGAGCTTTGGGCCAACTTTTGGTCCCATCCTGTGAAGAAGTTTGAGAGGGTCTGCCAATGCTATATGTTAGCATTGGCTAATTCTACTTCTGGGTCCACCCAGAGGACCATGCGGTGTGGTTTGTGATTGGGGAGGCACTGACCTTTAAATACAAAAAAAAGTCAGATTTACAATCATTATTCAAATAAAATAAGCATTTAATCACCAATGCAATGGGGGGTACCCAATAATTTTTTTTCCCACCCAAACTTTAGATACTGTAAGAAAGATAAGAGGAACCAGCTTCTTTTAATACTCTCACAACAAATCTAGCTGCTGACTCTGCTTCCGCATCAAACACATCATTAAGAAGCGCAGGTGCGAGAGACGCGAGGAGAGGGAGCGAGGAGAGAGGAGCAGAGAGAGACAGAGAGGAGCAGAGAGCGGAGGACGCGAGGAGCAGAGAGAGACAGAGAGGAGCAGAGAGAGCGGAGAACGCGAGGAGAGAGAGGACGCGAGGAGAGAGGAGCAGAGGAGAGACAGAGAGGAGCAGAGAGACGGAGACGCGAGGAGCAGAGAGAGACAGAGGACGCGAGGAGAGAGAGACGCGAGGAGAGAGGAGCAGAGGAGACAGAGAGGAGCAGAGAGAGACGCGAGGAGAGAGAGACGCGAGGAACATAAACAATAATTTAAACAAGTTGTCAGAACTCTTGAGCAGTGTTTGAATCAGTGTTTTTCGGAAAAGCACTACTTTGCGGTATCTGTCATGTTCAACATACAACACTGATATAACAAACTACTCCCCCGCAGCGACTAACCTCGTAAGTCCAGTGGTGTCTCCCAGTCTATCGTAATTCTTTCTCTTGTTGAATGTCCAATTGAGAAAAAAAATTCTTCTTCAATCATCCACTTTTCCAGCAAAAAGAATAGCTTTTTGGGTGATTGTTTTGTTAGCAACTCTGTTTGAACTTTATGCTCACTATCACCCCTAGCGGTGAGGCACAGATACCGCCTTGCCTCTCGCCAAGCTTTTTCCTTGTGTGTTCATTACGATCAAAAGACTTAACACTAAATTATAAATTGTACCACACATACGTGCAATACACTACTAAACCTAAGAGGAGTTTAAAAATGTTTTTAAAGCGGATATTTGAAACAAACGGTTGATATATCAATGCACGAGCTGAGTGCACTCAGGGACACACACACACCCACTGTGAGGGAGCGGTCTGGGGTGAGGGCACGCAGGAGCGCTGCCTCACCTCGTCTCTTTGAATAGGAATAACGGGATTTCGGCGAATTTTGACTTCAGAACATGATCAAAACTGATGGGAACCTGCCGATATACATTAAAAGCATGGAGACAGTGGATATAAATTATTATATTTAAACTAAAATAATATTAGTTTTCAATAATGGCGGTGAGGCTCGCCTCCCCTGTCGCACGTCCCTGGTCCACCCCCAATCGGCCCGGGGTGGTATTGCAAGCATGGTCAGCTCATGTCGTTTTGGACACTTTTGAGCCGAGACCGCCCCCACTGATCCATAACATGTATGCTGGGCGACCTAACTTTCCCAACCATAAACACAGTAAGAGCTATGTACAAAATCTTTAAACACAAAGAAGGCAGCATGTTTTTGGGTCTGATTTGTTTAGACTATTCTTTGGGGACAAACATAATGTAGTATTTATGAAGCAGAAGTAGCTAGGGTACCAAACTACTTAAGGCTTAGGCCAAGGCTTAGGTAGCTTATAATGTAAGTGGTTGTGCTAGGATATCCTTTCCTCAAGTCTATGCATTCTTTTTCAGGGAGGAGTTTCAGATAATGTAACGTTGACCGCCTACATCTCTGCTGCTCTGTTGGAGATGGGAGTGCCTGCAGATGTAAGTATAACATGTATTTGCCATTCAATATCTAAACCCTGTTGTGTTATGTAGCAATGATATGACTTCTGGTTTGTAAAGTAATGTTTTGGATTTCAGAATGAGAAACTATCCAATGCCTTAACCTGCCTGAAGGAGTCGATGAACGATTTGAGCAACACTTACACCACGGCCCTGATGGCCTACGTCTTCACTTTGGCCAATGACTTAACAACCAGGACACAACTGCTTGACCATCTCAACACTAAGGCACACAGAGAGGGTGAGTTTATACTGGGTTACATTTACTAGTGCAGTTTAAGTCTATCAATACATTTCAAATACTTCAAAGAGTACATTTTTGACAGCGAGAGTACCTACACACCTAAACAGTAGAATGTTTGTTCATAACTTACTGGGGGGAAAATTCACTCTGAAAATCAGGAGCAATATGTGGTTGTCTCAGGTGGATTGCTCCACTGGTCTCAGACGTCAGCTGAGACTTCTGCTTCGCTCTCGGTGGAGATCAGCGCATATGTGCTGCTGGCTCTGCTCGGGAACAATCCTGGTCCAAACGACCTGGGCGTCGCTTCCACATTGTGCGCTGGTTGACCAAACAGCAGAACTACTATGGAGGCTTCAGCTCCACACAGGTACAAATCTAGTCTGATTTAAAAACATTTTGAATGACATTTCTTTTGTATATTAATGTATTATTTAATGTATGATTCTTTCAGCCATCTATTTATTCTTGTCAATCTCATGCTTCAACCTTCTTTTTTTCCCATTTCCAGCTGCTGTACTACTTTGTATAACTTCATCATTGTACAGTTTGCACAGGACATAATATACTATCATATCATGTGCAAAAAGACACATAAATGCAACAACTACTACTAGTACTACTTTAAAGCTTTCACTCATCAAGACAATGTAAATCATATCTGAAGGAGAAGTGCAGTAAACACAAGTATTAAAAATAAAAAATAATGTGCAATAATACTTACCTAAACTACATTTGTAATACTTTATCTTTGACATGGGGGTTCTGTTACATAAAATACAATGATTCCATCTACTTCTTCTCCAGGACACTGTGGTGGCTCTTCAGGCCTTGTCTCTGTACTCCACTCTGGTCTACAGTCCTGGTGGTCAGAGCACGGTCACGATCATTACTCCCAGTGGTTCTCAGACGTTTGATGTGAACCAAAACAACAAGCTGCTTTACCAGGAGACAACCTTCCAAAACGTGGAGGGAGATTACAGCGTGAGCGTACAGGGCAACACCTGCGCTGCCATTCAGGTCAGTGAATGCACCACAGCCACCATCCTGTCCCTGTTTTTAACCAATTAGATGCATCAACTGTATTGTATTTGATAAAGCTGGATTACTTAACTTTGAAACCACAAAAATTATAAGAACTATGACATTCATGTTTCCATCCACTTCCTATAGCTTTCAAAACTGTTTGGTTCTGTTACTAGTTTTAACATGCATGTAAGTACCAGCCCTCGCTCGGTCATTTAGCTCTCAGTATGTAAAAGATTAAATATTGATAGGGTAAGACGGTATGTTGTGGTCTGAATTGTTCATCAACAATTCATCATCAACATGTATTTATGACAACAACAAAAATAACATACTATTTTGTGAACAAATCAGCCCGCAACATGTTGTCCTCAAGTCAGAAAATTAGAATAGAAAAGGGGTCTTCAGTTTTTCACTTTTCTGTTAGGAGAATATAATCTATACTTGTTATAAATATACATGCATGGGATAGAAGAAAACTATTTTGAGAACAAGAAACTAGTTTGATGGATATTACTGAAAAGTTAACATTATCTGTGGTTTTAGTTTAGGTTAGACATATTAATCCACATCATATTTGTTTTAGTGTCTCTGTTGTGCAGCCGTGTTGTAAAGTTATTTTGAAATAATGCTTCCAGATTGCTCTCATGTACAACGTCCCGACACCCACCGGCACCTCTGCATTCAAAGTTGATGTGACTCACAAGGTCGACTGCGACAGCAACTTACTGAGACCCAAAATGAACCTCTTCTTCAAATCAGAGTGAGACCAAAACTCCAGCGAATGCATTTTGATTATGTTATCTTTACCATCTATAACCACTTCTACTCTCATTTACAGGTATAATGGGGACCAGGAAACCTCCAACATGGTCATCCTCAACATTAAGATGCTCTCTGGATTCAAACCAGATTCTCGGTCTCTGAAAGAGGTATTTGAAAAGCGCTTTTTTTGTTTTGCGCGTCTTTTTCTTTTTGAGATTTAGTTAACCCTTTAGGCATCTGAGTTTCTTCAGAAATGTGAAACATTCAATAGGAAGATCCCTGAAATGTGATGGAGGGCTTCTACAATTAATATTATAATTAAATTTAGAAAGACAAATGTAGGGAAATGTTTTCAGGAAGCCAGGTTGCTGTATAGAAAGTGTTCAGCATTCAGGAGCGCATGAAGAAGATATATAATGCAGTATTTTGGTTCTTAAACTTGCTAATGGGACTATTCACTTGGTTTTTGAAGCAAAAATAATGAACAAACATATTTTAAAGATCAATAAGCTCTTAGCATGTAGTACTCACTTCTGCCATCAGGAGTATATGTTGAATTTGTGTGGGTTAAATTTAAAATCACACCTTAGTTCTGCATACATAGATAATTTCACCAGATAAATTGAGTTTGTTTATTTGTTTATTCGGTCATGCAAATTATTATTATTTCTTGACATAAAAAGGCATTAACAAAAGGACAAGGTTGCAAAAACAATGTATCTTATGTCAGTAATGAACATGCTTTAACATAGATTTACAAACGCAGTTGTGACCGAAGGGATAAGGCTGAAGTATAACTTTTTTTTTTTTAAATTGACAAAACTTGAGTTTGATGGAGATAGAATTTAGAGGCTATGATTTGGATTCAGCTCAAGACTGAGGCAGGACCATTCAGATATAATATTTACAGTCTATGGTTCAGACACACTAGCATGAATGAAGCTCAAAACAACTCGAAATCTGTTTTGTGGGTTAAAAGCTCAGCAAATATGATTTTGCGTATCAAGTCTTGATTCATCTAAGCTGCAGCTGACCTAACACAATGTCTCATGTCAGATTGCATCATATCAGGCTTTGAAAATTGAAATTGGTAATAACTGAGTAAATGCAGTCCATTTTTTATGTGTTTGAACATCAATGATATTCAAATGATATAAAAAGCCCAATTCCCTCACTAATGTTCCTACTAGCTTTGAGGTGTTTTTAAAGATTTTCAAAATGGTATCTTTAATGTCAAAAATTATCACAAAATATGTGTGTGTGTGCATCTGCGTGTTTAAGCTGGAGGGCGCATTGCTGGTCGAAAGGATTGAAAATGACCAAAAGGACAATGACCATTATTTGGTCTACCTGAAAGAGGTAAGAAAATCTCATATTTAACCTGATAATTTGGGAAAAAATTAGTCAGATTGAAAATGTTTTTGTATTCTTCCTTTAAAAGCTACCGAAAGGCATCCCCATCAATCATCAATTAGTGGTGGTACAGGAACGCGAAGTGAGTAACCTGAAGCCCGCCGTGGTGGTACTCTACGACTACTACCAGCCCAGTACGTACCATCATGAATAAGAAAAAAATTAAATAAGGTTCAAGTCTTTGCCATGGATTTAAAAGAATGGTTTATTTCCATTTCAGGCGACAGTGATGAGACAGAGTACAGTTACCCCTGTGCTTGAGGTAAGAGGTGATGCAGTCAGCAAAGTCAGTTCAAATGACGAAAAATAGCAATTCTATTGAAATTGTAACTAATACAATTATCTTCTAGCAATGCGTTCTATTAATGCTCCATACCTAACTTTAAATCCACAGAAAATGTAACTATGCAATAAAATATGTATAACTTGTTAGTATAGTGTATGTTTGTAAATAAATTAGGTACCCCAGCTTATATCTATAATGTATTTTTTTTTTGACAAAAACTAGTTCCCAAACCAGGAATTTGTTTTGGCATTATGGTACAACAACACAGGCATGCATGCATACACTGAATTAATACATTGTGATCATTTAAGTCATATTTATAACCTAACTATCTCGCATTTTCTCTTTTAGGTTGATGATTCACGGATGCATCTGGAGTTTGAATAAATAAACATGTAATGAATTGTGTTGTTGGTGTTATTCAATGGAATTTATGTTACACTTGGTACAATTGTATGATTGGCAGAAGGGACTTTTCACAATAAACTGGTTGTTTGGGCCACATGCTGTCTTCTACTTTTATCTGTGGTCAATGAATTTATTCTCTCGATATAGGTTTGTGCTAAGAAAACAAAATCAGGTCCCTGTGATACAAATCCATGTTACCTGATTAACAACACCCTGCGTATAGTTTAATAGAACCCTTTTTTTTTTTTACTCTTGTATCGTCACATTTACTTTTTGGAATGCCTTTTGTCCAGATATTCTCTTTGCTGGGGACTTAATGATAAAAACCACAGAACATTACTGCTCTAGTAGTCGTTTAATTTGTTATTGACATTGATGTACTATATATTCATATGAGAGATTTTAGTATTGCTTTTGAAACACTTAAACAACATAGGCCTATTAAAGACACTATTACAAAAACATAAAGTCAAGTGCTGCCAAAGGGTCATGTGAACTTACAGTAAAAGCACGGCTGACCTCTTCCAACCAGTTTTTTATGTCCTATCATCATCTTAGAACTAAATTGTCTTTTTAAGAAAGCAGAAAGTATATATCCATCCATCCATCCATTTTCTACCCTTTAATTGATTTATAGGTCAGGGGGGTGGAAATCAGAGATGCCACCCAAGTCTCATAGCACCAGCCCCTCACTGATCCTCTGCAGGTGGTGAGTCCACAGGAGGACGGCTGCTCTCTGAGTGTGAGCATAGCCTTGATCTTTCAGTGGGGGGTTTGGGCAAAGTGGGGTTAAGTGTCTTGCCCAAGGACACAATGACAGCAGTCATCAGTGGGAGTCGGTGGAGAAGGTGTAGAGGTGGGAATTAGAGGTGTAGAGGTGGGAAAGTAACAATGGTGTTTGAAAGGTTAGTGGTAAAGTACTGAAAATAAAATACTTAGGCACTTAAACGCCCGTGTACGTGTCATTTGAGTATGGAAAGCAAGCTTTTCAAGTAGCAATGCAACAACTGATTATTCATATGACGTATATAAGTACAGAGTAACGGAAATCTCAACTGACAACCTTTTTCAACCCTGGTCCATTTGTATTGTAACTGCATTACACCAACTATTGCACTAGATGGCAAAATCTCCCTTTTTATTTCATTTTTACTTTGTTTGAATGTCATTGTTTCTAAACGATTGACAGCGTTCCAATTGAATTCACACAGATACCAGTATAAATGTATGGTACAGAATAATAAAATAAATATTAAATAGATCTTCCCTAGTTTCCATTGTTACAGACTCTTCCTATAATTTAATTATGTGTTTATATTTATAATACATTTGTATTTTGTTCTTTATTATTCTATCTTTTACAGTATCATGTGTGACAAAAAATAAATACATGAAAATAAACTTACTGCTACTCATAGACTGTATACGCTACCTTTATTTATTTTTTTTATAAAACTTTATTGAACATTTATAAATTTATAAATTTATATTAAGGCACAACACAGTTCATATCCATAAAGCAGTGCAAAATGAAGGTGAGTTGAACGAAAAAAAAGAACATAAATAGAAGAAACAACCAAAATAGATAAATACAAAATAATGCTTTATGAATACAATAATAAAATAAATAAAAAAATATGCAAATTTTTCCTCAGATTTAAGGGTCAATTAATTTGTAATGTTTTATTTGATCTAGAAGCTCTATTGCTTTATTTAATTTCATAACTTTTAAGGATTTGCAATATCCTTAGCTACTACCGCTACCAAGCTACTAAGCTACATTTCGTCACTTCCTGGATGCGAGACACCAAAATGACAGCTGGTTTGTTTTCATCAACACGAGCCAAATAAAGTGGATATTTAAGGTGTGTACGCGGGTAACAGTGGTTGCTTTTTACTCTGAAAGATTGATATCCTTATTATAGATGTATATGCACTATTATGACAGGTATCCTGCTGTATTTATGGTTTTGTCTCGAGATTACGTTCGGTCAGCCGTGACTGATTCTGTTGCTGAGGATCGCTGCACCGTCTACTATAGAAAAAAACAAAAAACCTGTTATGTTTTTATTGGGATTAGTTTGTGCTTTTCTAATGTGTCTAATATGTAGTTTTTTATCTTAGCAGTTGTAGTTGTCGTTGTGGTATTGTTTGTTTCGGTATTTTATTCTAAAGCTATTTGTTCTTTCTTCACAGCGTTAATCTATTGAATGTCTATGGTGCAGTTGATCACATGTAATCATAACAATTATATTGTCATTTTAATCTCTTTTCGAAAAATACTGGATTGTACATTTTGTCCCAATTTGAAAATATCTCATGTTTTTCTTATGATAGCCGATTTGTATGCTAAAACTTAAAGAATGTGGATCCAAAAGTACATTTAATGTTATATTTAATCAAATGTACGTCAAAGAGTAGTGACATGTTATTATCACAATTGTTGACTGGTGTGTACTGGATAGTCTTCTGTATTGTATTTATTTTTTAATTTAACATGCACTTCCTACTTAACATGAGCCTACTAAAAGACTTTGTTTGTGAAAAAAAATAACAAAATGAAATAAGTTAGTTGACCTTTAATACATATTATCAGTATCTATATTTGACCGAGCATAGTGTATCTAATATTTAATAGAGGGGACTAAACCCCCGATTTATTTATTTATTTACAAACTAGCTAAGCATATTGGCTTGTAGTATTAAAATTAAATTGATAGGATTTTCTGACCTACAACAGCAAGAAATCTCCATAAACACTAATTGACTCATGCTTTTTGTCCTAACGTGCCCTTTTGTGTTGGTGTTGTATATCTATGCCATCAGCAATAATGCCATTCAAAACTGCGTATAGGTCAGATAATTTCTTGAAGAGCTCTAAAAGGATATAAAGATTGTGACCGTGTTCACAAAGACAGAACATTTGTATTGATTTTGGTAAATGAATAACTTTACCATCCATTCACCCAGTCTGTTTTTGCTTATAGTTTCAAGTGCTGGATCAAGTTTATTCCTGTCACTTTTCGCGTTGATCAGTGCGGCCAATCACCCGCCAATCTGGAGTAAGTAAATGCACCAAATACTTTGACAAATATGAAATTGAATAAAACATGCAACCTTTTCATTACAGGACCCATTTGAGAGGGAACAGGATACATTAAGTGGTCACTTTGGTTAAGGACGATCTCTTTAGGTAAGGCACTTGTTTCTGTCAATACATCACATAATGTACTGCTTAGAAATGTTTCTTAGTAGTAGCTCTTTACATTATGGGATATATATTTGTGTACACTAGCTTTTTCACGTAGTCTAGTGTCCCCATATACTTATACTTTTGAATGTTTGATAGAACCATAGTTCGCAGTATGAATTATCATAACAAATCAATGCTGCTTCCTAGAACCGTCAATAATCTGCACTGAAGTTTGTTGTTTTAAAAAGAACTGTAATCAGAAATACTACTGATGTTTTAATGGACTGCAGATCTGTATTTATTAATCTTGTGATTATTCTTTCATTTAACCCTTTGTTGTTTTATATTGCAAAGGCCCTTGAGTTTGATGTTTGCTCTGAGTTTGATGATGAAACTTGAGGACATCTCGATGGCGTACATTTACAGACAAAAAAGGTTCTTTACCAAAAACGTCAAATTTACTGTTTACTGTGTAGTATCTGCTGTGTGTCAATCTCGGCACACAGCTCACGTGTGTGGAGAGACCAGAAAATCATTGCTAAACCACCAAATTGGTTGACTATAAAATGGTCTCAAATCATGTAGTTTGTCAAAGGCCCTTATAACTACTGTACTTTGTACCTTAAATCACTTTTTTCTTTTACTGCACTGAAAATGAAAAAGCACTTTTGGCAGGGGTGTCAAACAAATTTTGTTCAGGGGCCACATAATAAAATGAGCTGATTGTGGGCTGGAAGTTTACCAATGTATCCATTGCATGTCATTTTTATTTCTTGTTACAGTCGTTTTTTAATATTATAGATCACTTTTATTTAAGATGAGTTTGAATATTCATTTCTGATAGAATGGGAACAAAAGGCTTTCAATTTCAGTTTTGATTTGTACCAAAAGTGGTCCAAAGGTAAGGACATTTTGTTATTGCAGACTGCAAGTTCGATTGTTTATTTTCCTTTTAACTATTACTATTTGTGTTTTCATGTTTAAATGTGTATCTTTTTAATTTTTTTAAACAAGTGAAAGTGCAGAATATAACACAAAAACAATAATACACTACTCAGTAATAACTAAGTACTGTAGTTTCAGTCTCTGTGTGGCTCAACTCTCTGGGCATACACTGGACAATAACACAGCGAGCACTCTGTGCTCCAGAGCCAGACTCCAACACAAACAAGTTATGCATTTACATTTGTTATACATTTTCAGGCATCATTTGAACATACAGATCAAGCTGAAGTTTGCTTTAGGAGAGGCAATACCAAATCCAATTGTTTAGGGTGCTCTTTCTCAGATCCTTTAAACCAAGGGCAGCTTGTTCACTGTTTAGAATATCTTAAATTGTACAGTTGTTTTCTTGAGAGTATTAACTAGTTATGTTGGTAGCCTGTATTCAATTCTTACCATCATTGCATCAAGTTAATAATATATTAAATAATTTTGGGAACCATTACAAATAGCATTGGGCCACATAATTGACACCCCTGGTTTCAGGATTATTTTATGCACTTTGATTGTGATATTCCTTCAGGTCCCAACTTTCATAAATTCCAGATTTGAACCACACAAATCTATTAGGAAGCACAAACCAAATATAATGCATTGAGCACCACTGTGTGTTATAAACATTATTTTTTTTTCATATCAGCTGCGGAGCTCAGGGGCACAGCCATGGACTCACTGAGCGACACACACGGCCGCTCTTTCGTGGAAGTGATCGTGGAAAAGTACAGCCCTGAGAACTTCCCCTATCGCCGAGGCCCTGGGGTTGGTGTAGTCATAATCACCACACCTCAAGGCTCTCCCATGAAAGGTTTTTCTCTTTTGTGTTTATTTCTCAAAAACTTGTTGATGTTTAAAAGAATATTAAATGAATGAATGAATGCTTTATTTTTTTAATGATCTTTTCAATAATCCTACAGATCGTCTTAACTTGCCGAGAGTGCTGGTGTTAGAAGGCTCTGGCATCAGTCGAGCTGGAGACCAAACAGAAATTGCAGCTTTCTGTGCACATGTGATGGAGCTGGACTTGTCCCACAACAATTTGCAGGACTGGCATGAGGTACATCTGACCACTTGTCCCTCTGTTGACTGTCCCTGAATTCCCACTGATCCTATATAAAGTGAGAATTATTTACATACTGTAGAAAACACTTAACTGGGGATGGGAATCAATGAAAGTGTTCAACTTCATCCCACTCTTTTTCAAGAAACAGTGGATTTTCTTTGTCTGACTATCAGTGTTCTTAAGACCAGTGTTTTGATGTTGCACATAATGTACACTTTTTCATTGTGTGCTTGAAATAAGCTCAAACTAACTTCTCTTAAACTAATCAGGATTTCTTTTTGTATATTTCATGATACTTGCTACTTGCACGTCACCCATGATACTTTGCCCCTGGGGGGGTAGCAAGCTGACTTTCTTTGAGTAATGTTTTCGGCCACTTTTCTGTACTTCTACTTGAATAACGTACTCAAAACTTTTCTTACTTAAACAGCTTGTCTTTCTTTTTAAAAAGTGCAATCACAGAATATTAAAAATGTTGGTTAATGACATGAGTACTTTTTACTGTAATTTGTAGATCAGTAAAATTGTATCCAATATCCCCAACCTGGACTTCCTGAACCTGAGCTCCAACCCTCTGGCCGCAGTCCCTCTGGAGGCTCCGTGCGTCGAGGCCTTCGCTGGCGTCCGGCGCCTGGTCCTCAACAACACCAAAGTGTCCTGGGACACCGTGCTTCAGCTCACACAGGAGCTGCCTGAGTAAGTGTCACATGTGCCTCAAATAATCCAAGAACAGAGGTGTTATTAAACTACATCGAAATAGTTTAGGGTTGTAACTCAGTGTTTTAAATAATCTTGTTTGTAAATTATTCTGTCAATTAATGGGTTAGTTGTTCTGATTGTCAGTTAATATGGTTTTTGAAGATTAATTTTTCTATTGGATTTGGAGAATGTAGAGATGACTTGTAACACATTTTAATTTTATGTTGTTGTCATTATAGAATTATCATTGTCAAAAACATCTTTTCAGCATGTTTAAGTTTATGTATGTAAAAAAACAACAATTAATCGATTGTGAGTTGACAACAATTTCAATAATCCAAAATTGCTAATTATCCATTTTCTTGTTACAGCCCTAAAATAGTGACTTTTTGAAATAATAATAATATTTATTGATAGAACAAAAAAGTAATAACTAACGTTGTGCATGCAAGCATTTTATTTCAATGAACACCTGAGACAAAGTGAATATACACGCAATGTCCACAACTTCCTGCCCATGCAGCCTTGAAAGTCAAAAATCAATGTCAATTATCATTCAGAAGGTTGGATTTCATAAAGCTTAAAAAACAGGGATTTAGATAATAAAAAAGGGAAAATATATAAGATAAAGAATTTCTTTGTCAACGAAACACATTAGACACATAAAACACAAACCGGACATTCTTACTTCTTGCTCAAGTACAGGATCTGTGAATCTCACCAAGCATACCAGTACTTTTTACTCGAGATAAACGAGATACAGAATTTGAAAAACCTATCTCCTTTGAAAATGTGTCCAAAAATGTTATTCCTATAGTTACAGCCTTGAGCATGTTTTGTTATTAGCGCTTTTAATTAGGAACAATTTATATTTTGCACTAAAATATCTTGCTTTTCAAAAAACTGCTTTATAAATAGCAACTTCTAAACCTTTAGAAGACTTTTCTAATGGCACCACATTCAATTATAAAAATGTTTGGCTAGTGTGTCTGTGTTTACAATATTGGCTTTAGTATCTTTATGATGATACAGATGTGGCAGTGCCCTGTAAGCCCTGTGCCCACTTGTGTTTCTGCAGTCTGGAGGAGTTGTTCCTCAGCCTGAATGGTTACAGTGGTGTCCATGCCTCCCGTGAGCCCTGCCTCTCCCTGCGCCTCCTCCACATCTCGGACAACAGCCTGCAGGACTGGGCTGAGGTCCGCAAGATCGGCTCCATGTTCCCCTCTCTGGAAACGCTGGTCATGGCCAACAACAACCTGGCCTCAATTCAGGACAACAAAGACATTCTCCAGCGGCTTTTCCCAAATCTACGCAGCATGAATTTGCACAACTCAGGTCAGATGTGATCAAATACATCCTTTAAAACAACACTTTGGACGATGTGAAATCCACTTAAAAGGTAGTAACCATCCTCCACTTTCGCATTCACACCAGTGGGGGAGGGTCCCAGCTCAAAAGTGGCCAAAATGACGTGCGCTGACATGTTTGCAATACCACCCCGGGCCGATGGGGGTGGACCCAGAAGTAGAATTAGCCAATGCTAACATATAGCATTGGCAGACCTCTCAAAAACGTCTTTACAGGATGGACCAAAAGTTGGCTCTTGGCCCAAAGCTCCGTTCCACATGTGTGTCAATGCTGAGGGGGGTGACATTTTTTGGTCCACTCTAGTTTACTTGCTGTGAATTTTTGAAGTCTCTCGTTCAAATGAATGGAGCTGCGCCGGCTGACGCATGCGCAGATGCGTTTTTTCACAATTTTCTTGTGGGCGGGACCATTCGCGGCCATTTTGGATCGCTCCAGTAGAGCAGTGTTTTTCAACCACTGTGCCGCGGCACACTAGTGTGCCGTATGATATTGTCTGGTGTGCCGTGAGAAATTCGTCTACTTTGTCTAAAAATAGCTGCATTCGCTGTTGACGAGCGGTGACTTGTTTTGAACTGTGAGTAACCATGTAATACTTTTTCAAATCAGTAGATGGCAGCAGATAGCTAAGTACTTTGAAACTGAAAAATTGGATGCGACCACTGGCTGTAACAGGTCAGCATTGTGGCGAGAAAGGTAAAATTGGATGCGACCAACAAATGTGGGAGGGAGCGAGTCAAGAGCTTTGTGGCGAGTGAGAAGTGAAAGTGATAGAGACGTTTTTGAAAATGAATTATGCCGTTTCTGAACAGGATTAACATCCTCCGCTCTGCCCCGGGGTAGCTGTGGCCGCGTTGTAGTGGTTTAACTATGAAATGTACAATTTTTGTACAACAGCTCTCGCGAACGCACTTCTGAACTGGGTACCGAGCGCAGACCGTAGTCGAGTGGACAGAACCACAGACATGCGGACCGGACAGAACCATGGACTCGCGTTCAGGACCTCCCGTGTCCCTCATCCAAAACTCCTTTTTTAAAGCTCGGATACCTAAATTTTTCCCATGCACTAACAATGCATGTTCTTTGTGTGAGTTATTATTTGACTATTTGGGCAGAGAGTGGATTTTCTTAGTTTTTTTCCACACAGTTAGTGCCACTTTATTCCCAAACTCTTGTTAATTGTATCGATAAATATTAAATAAAGCTTAATTTCAAGGCCTGGACTTAAGCATTTTGATGAGAATAACTGTATATTGTGAATATAGGCTACAGAGTATACTGTATACATTATAAGATAAGATATACTTTATATATCACACAGAGTATGTACAGTATATATTTTTTTACATTAGTACTGTATACATTTTTACATTTTCTCCTGGAGGTGTGCCGCAAGATTTTTTCAGTGAAAAAATTGTGCCTTGGCTCAAAAAAGGTTGAAAAACACTGCAGTAGAGCAAATTTTTTGGCCCATTAGTTAGAACGGCGGAGATAGGCGTGACTCTGTCCGTTAATATATACAGTCTATGATTCACACACTCAAAAGCTGTATCTAGACTAAATTTGCATGTTCACTTTAGAATAGGAGTGTGACAATATATCGATCTAACGATATACAGTGCCTTGCGAAAGTATTCGGCCCCCTTGAACCTTTCAACATTTCGCCACATTTCAGGCTTCAAACATAAAGATATAACATTTTAATTTTTTGTCATGAATCAACAACAAGTGGAACACAATCGTGAAGTGGAAAGAAATTTATTGGATAATTCAAACTTTTTTAACAAATAAAAAACTGAAAAGTGGGGCGTGCAATATTATTCGGCCCCTTTACTTTCAGTGCAGCAAACTCAGTCCAGAAGTTCAGTGAGGATCTTTGAATGATCCAATGTTGTCCTAAATGACTGATGATGATAAAGAGAATGCATCTGTGTGTAATCAAGTCTCCGTATAAATGCACCTGCTCTTTGATAGTCTCAGGGTTCTGTTTAAAGCGCAGAGAGAACCATGAAGACAAAGGAACACACCAGGCAGGTCAGAGATACTGTTGTGGAGAAGTTTAAAGCCAGATTTGGATACAAAAAGATTTCCCAAGCTTTAAACATCTCAAGGAGCACTATGCAAGCAATTATATTGAAATGGAAGTAGTATCAGACCACTGCAAATCTACCAAGACCCGGCCGTCCCTCCAAACTTTCATCTCAAACCAGGAGAAGACTGATCAGAGATGCAGCCAAGAGGCCCATGATCACACTGGATGAACTGCAGATAACTACAGCTGAGGTGGGAGAGTCTGTCCATAGGACAACAATCAGTCGTGCACTGCACAAATCTGGCCTTTATGGAAGAGTGGCAAGAAGAAAGCCATTTCTCAAAGATATCCATATGCCACAAGCCACCTGGGAGACACACCAAACATGTGGAAGAAGGTGCTCTGGTCAGATGAAGCCAAAATCGAACTTTTTGGCCACAATGCAAAACGATATGTTTGGCGTAAAAGCAACACAACTCATCACCCTGAACACACCATCCCCACTGTCAAACATGGTGGTGGCAGCATCATGGTTTGGGCCTGCTTTTCTTCAGCAGGGACAGGGAAGATGGCTAAAATTGATGGGAAGATGGATGGAGCCAAATACAGGACCATTCTGGAAGAAAACCTGTTGGAGTCTGCAAAAGACCTGAGACTGGGACGCCCCACTTTTCAGTTTTTTATTTCTTAAAAAAGTTTAAATGATCCAATAAATTTTGTTCCACTTCACGAGTGTGTCCCACTTGTTGTTGATTCTTAACAAATTTTATTTTTATATCTTTATGTTTGAAGCCTGAAATGTGGCGAAAGGTTCAAGGGGGCCGAATACTTTCGCAAGGCACTGTATTGTGATACTTTCTCCCGCGATCGATTATCGATATGCATTTTACAAGTATTGATTTTGAAAAAAAAAAAAAAAAAAAACAATATATATATATATATATATATATTATACACACATATTTTTTTAAATTAGTATCAATACTCAATATATGACTACATTACGCATCTCCATTCCATTTATCTTGAAATCAAGTGTATTTTTTCACTTAACATTGGCATATGGTATATTTCTGACCAATATATTGATAATCGTCATAATGTGATATAATCGTTATTGTGATATAATCGTTATTGTGATATAATCGTTATTGTGATATAATCGTTATTGTGATATAATCGTTATTGTGAGCTTTGTATCGCGCATTGTATCGTATCGTGAGGTACCCTGAGGTTCCCACCCCTACTTTAGAATCAGAATTTTTATTGCCAATAACAGGAAGTCAAAAAACTAGATATTTGCTTTGGCATGTAAATCATAAAAAATTGTATAAAGGCATGTATTTTAAAAAATCTGTATACAAATTTTATAACTACACACGATGGACGTTTAATAGACATTTGTTGAACTGGTTCACTTTTACATGGTGGTTTTATATCCACAAATACAGTATTTCTTTTGCCACAAAGTGAACCAGTATTGGTCTTGTGAACCATAACAAGTATGAACATGTCCTTTGTCTTATACTAGTGCAAGGCAAGTTTTGAAGTGTGTAGAATGTCCAAAGTGGGGGTTATTGGGGGCGATCATGAAGATGCAGTTTTTTCAGCAATGCCCTTGTAGAAAGCCAAGTATTTTCTGGCAATACCAGAAATGTTTTCTATTAAAGAATACGCTGTGAATCAGGACCTCCTCTAGAAAAGGATCATTGATAGACTACCATGAATCTGAAGCTAACACACTTGACTGATCAAGTCAGTTTGAACAGTTTGGCAGTCCCATGCTTGGATATTTGGAAAAAACTTTTAAAAACTCTCACGGTTTGTTACAGTGATCATCAACTGGCGGCCCGCAGGCCAAATCAAGCCCTCCAAGCCGTTCTAACCGGCCTGCGACTGTATTCCAAAATACTTTGCTTCTGTCATTGCGCCCCAGGGCAGCTGTGGATACAGTAGCAGTTTATCACCACCACGTATGGAGTGAAAGAATAATGACATGTGAAGCGTCTGTGAGTGTCCAAAAAAGCACTGCATAAAACCAATGCATTATTATTCTTTATTTCTGTACTTTTAACCTTGTTTTATTTATGTACTTGTCTGGTGCACAGTGGGGAGTTTTGCGGATGTATTCCAATGTGGTTTTACTGCAAATGGCAAATAAATTAATCTTATTAATTTTCTCTTTGGGGGTCCAGCCCCCAAGGAGACTGTCTGGTAAAACTCTGGCCCGCTGATAAATATAGCTGATGACCCCTGGTATATTGAATACAAGAGGTTTCCCAAAATAAACCTGTATCATGTCAATCTTATAGAATGTCAATCTATCCATCTATATTGTGTGTCTGGTAGAAAAAAGCATAAGCTTGTATTTATTCTATTTTTGTCAGAAAACATTCCACATATAGACAACAGTTCACATTAAAAGATATGCTTCTATGTTCTGTATCTGTGAACATCTATTTTTAACACCAGAGCAGTCTGTCTCATGGAAACGCCTTGATCAATATAAAAAGCATCACTCAACATGTTATTGTTGGTTTACTTCCTGTTCTTTCACTTTCAACCACCACGTTTGGCATTCGCAAAATCCTCTTGATCAATTAGAGGAGCACTAAGCAACTTCCATGTTTGTTTCCTTGGAGATAATATAGATCTTCCTTTTCCATAGCTTGGCACGAAACACATCTTCTTGCTTCTAAGTCAATGTAATTCTTTAAATTGTGAATGTGTGTGAAGGACTTTGCACATGTATTCCAATGTGTTTTACAACAAATAGCAAAATAAGATTAATCTGAATGAATCTGAATCCAAATGTCTTGAAAATTCACAATATTGAGTCTGGGTGTGTTACTTTCATGGGGATGCATACGGCTACATTTAAAGTGACATTTATTGAAGTGAATATTGTGATGGTATAGTTTCAATTAGCTATCTAACATTACAGTAAAAAAGTAACAGCTTCATCTTTTCAGGTCTGAATCGGTGGGAGGACATAGATAAACTGAATTTCTTCCCAAAGCTAGAAGAGGTTCGACTGCAGGGAATTCCTTTATTACAAACCTACACCAACACAGAGCGACGGAGCCTCATGATCGCACAGTGAGTCAAACTTTCTTACTTTTGAGTTTATTTCAATTTGTAGTGAAGTAGAAAGTAATTTTTTCTCAAATGCAGTGAAATAAATTACTGTGAATTTTACAGCTACAGTAATTAAAATTCACTGTAAAACTAGTAAATATGTTTTTTGTCCCTCTACTGACATAATTAGCAAACATAATTGTAACTATTTCTTGAATTTGTAGGTGCATCTGTTTAATTCATGTGTGCTCCAGGGCAGCTGTGGCTACAGTAGTGAAGTGAAAGAATAATGTGAAGTGTCTTTGAGTATCCTGAAAAGTGCTATATAAAACCGATGCAATATTATTATTATTATTATTATGAAGTTGAGCTGTGCTTTGGGCTCTGCGGATATGAAGTATACTGTGAAAAAGAAGCAACAATATGTGTGAGATGGGTGTTGTTCCAACATTCACATAGTGGACATAGTGTCCAACTAGAAGGACTGTGGTGATGATCCAGGACACTTTAACATTCTACAACATGTATGGACATTTATCAACATGTGTTCTATATTCTTTATGTGTTTTAACTGTTGATTCTCTGATCTGTGGTGGTGATTTCAATGGTTTTATTAAGTCCTCTGAGATGTGATTTAGGGCTATACAAGAATTAATTGTATTGGATTGTATTGTATTCACATTTATCCAATTGAAAGACTGTGTTCAAAGGAAACTGGGAACTTTGAAGCTAACATTTTGGTTAATAAATTATCTACACTTTTTTTCTCACTATAAGGAGTCTTGTAAAAGTGTGGTCCAATTAGGGTGTGGCGCTTTGGGCTGAGAGCTTCTTCTTCTTCTTTATTGTTTATTGAAACAGGGACAGTGTACAAAACCATTAGTCTTTACAAAAGAAGACTAATGGTCTTCTAAAGACTAAAGCTAATTAGCTTATTGGGTATGGTCCTCTCTTTTTCGGTTTACTGTCTAAAAAAGCTGATCTAAAATTTGACAAAGGTCTAAAAAGTACATGCATGCATGTGAAGACTGTTGATAGAACCAAATTGTTTAAAGGCTTTTGAGACTAGTTATATGATTGCAATACATACTGTAATTCCTATTTTGATGTTTGGTGAAATTTACAAAGAGAAAACTAAGGAATGACTTTCACTTATACTTTCTAACTTTCCACCATTAAAAACCTTCAGTGCAAGCGTGAAATATTCTCCTGTCTGCCATCTTTAGGTTGCCTGCCATTGCGAGGCTGAACGGTAGTGTGGTGACTGACAGCGAGAGAGAGGATGCAGAGAGGTTTTTCATCCGTTATTACGTGGACCGGCCTGAGGAAGAGCCCCCCTGCAGGTACATACCTCCACACACGGTCAATTATAGTTGTTTGTTCTGTTGCTAAAGCTGCTGCTCCCTGTAGGTACCACTGTCTGGTCACTAAGTATGGGAAGTTGGAGCCACTGGCTGAGGTGGACCTCCGACCCCGCTGTCGCGCTCAGGTGGAGGTGCACTGCGACGACAAGGTGGAGCAGGTGGGATAACGAGGCCAGAGCTAATTAAAAACTACATTGTATTCACAGCAGCTGCTACAAGTTTGATAACGCAGCCAGTTTGTTTATTTTGGGAATTTGAACTTTTGATTAGCTACAAGTTTTGTTAGGCCACATTACTCTTTGTTCGGGATAACATTGCAGTGTCAGCGATTGTAGTAAAAACTCATTAGCCATTATTGAGAAGACTATTGCAACATGTAGTGTTGAAAGTTCTATAAAATGTGTTTGTGTACTGCCCTAATATCACAACAGCAGTCATCTTGGAGGAAAATTGTCAATTTACCGACAAATAATTTGAACAATTAGAGTGCAGGAAATGCAATAATAATAACTAGGAAAGCACTCGTAGAGCGCAGACCTCTGCTTCAATGCTTTCAATTCTTTAAAACACACCCTGTATCCAGAGGGTGATTCGGATCACCCTCAAAAGAACACCTGTTATCTGTGCCAGTACGCACATTTCACTAGGGTTGTTACTACAGTAGTCAAAAATGTCTCAAAAGCGATCCAATCTACCGACCAATTGTTAAATAATACATACATAAATACATACAGTACAGATTGAAAGTCAGGTACCTTTCTTTTTCATGGAGTGTTATTCTGTTTCTTTTCCTGGTTTCATCCACCCATTCATTTTCACTTTATCGGTCGCGGGGGCTGCAGTCCAAGCAGAGACACCCAGACTTCACTAACCACACACACTTTCTCCAGCTCATTCATGGGAATCCTGAAGCGTTACCAGTTCAGCTGAAAGACACGGGGTCTTCCCCAGAACCAGAACTCCTCCCCAGGGAGGCGTTCAGGACACAGAACTTTGTGATAAGAAGTAGCTCCAGATTGTCTAAAAAAATAGTGTAAGAAAGTGTCATGTGAGCACGGGTTGTTTGTCCGGAGGTGCTTGTGGCCAAAAAAATCATGCATGCAAATACCAACAATTGGCTAAAGGTTTAGGTGGATTGAAATGTCTACATTCTATTTTCATTGTTTGATAATCAGGTATCCAAGCTTGGTAACTGTTTTCAAGTAGTTTTAAGCTGGACAGGATTTGACATTTAAGTGAGTTATTGACATTAAAGGTATATTAGAGGATTTTCATCTTCCCGGGCGGATCATCTAGACTATTGGTCCTCCCAATTGTCAATCATTCTGGTGAATAATATTACAGTATATACATGTATATACATGTATACAGTATATACATGACATTGCCCTGAAGAAGGCCCTGCGTGGCCGAAACGCGTTGGTCCCTTCTGCATTAAAGGACTTTTTATCAGAGTGCCTCGGATTTCACCCTGTCTTTATTTTCCATGCAAAAGGGTATTTTTTGTTTTTCATTACAGTATATATTTCTGAACAGGTGAACATTCGTTTGGACCAGAACGTGGCAGAGCTGAAAAAGCGCCTTGCCACTGTGGTGCAGCTCACAGCAAACAGCATGAGACTTTACTACATCGACAAGAGCAGCGTCTTTGGACCGGAGGAGATGAAGTACAACACTCGTGGTCTGCACTCCTACAGCATCCAGGATGGAGACGAAATCCTGGTGGTGCCCAAAAACAAGTAAACCTTTTGACAAGAAAATAACAGCATTACTGAAACTGGAAACAGCAACAGCGGACTATTTTTGGCCAGATATAGTCGACAAAGATACTGCCTGGAAAAAACTGGACTGTGTTTTGGCTTAGATTGATTAATGGCTCAAATTGTAAAACAAAACATAGAAACACTCAATAGTGGCCTACAATAGTTAGCAAATATTTGTTTGGATTTGTTTCTCAAAAATATTACTCAAGTCGAAACCGGACAATCTTTTTGCTTTTTCAATTGGGCAATGACTCAAGTAAGGTTATATGTCTAAACCTAACATTGAAGTATGTTATTTGCTTAACATAATATGAAGAATTAGACGGTAAATGAAGGAGTAGTGTGGGTTTTACAGTAGTTCTATGAAAATTGTCTTCACCTGTTAAAGCTGGGGTACCCAACTTTTCCCCCTCTAAATTATACATTTTGTTTGTCCCAACAGAAAGAGTCCTGACCAAAACATGTCTTCATCGTATTAGGAAACATGTTTCTTTTGCATACTTACTGTAGCTCACCCCATGAGACACTATTTGCTGAGTGAGGGTGGTTCTGTCTGAAAAGGCTGACCTCAGCTTTAAGAGTGATGTTATACTTCAATAAACAATTCCACATATGCATAAAATGGACTGCTCTGCCAAGACGTATTCTAAAAAAGTTGAATTTTGTTAAAAGGTCAAATGTTAGGGAGTATGACCCATCTCTGCTAAAAGTTGAAGCTCAAGCTGGTGTATTGTAAAAGCTGTGGTATAAAAAGTCATGAGGCTTTCTGACTGTATTCCAGCAATGCCTTGTTGAGATGACCACATAGGAGCAATGTCTTCACACTTGCCCTCGCAGCAGCTGCTCCCTGCGTGCTGCCCCCTACTGGCTTCAGCCCTGCTTCTGCGCACTGCCACCTGCCACAAAACTGCACCTGAACTGAGAAGCGGTGACGCAAACGCCCAAACAAACCACCCACGCCGCAGGAGACTGAAAAACAATCTCTGTAACTGTAATGTATACGCGAGAGCAGCTTTCCATCCATTGTCCTCTACTTTGTCAGTTAATGAGGTGATATTAGCTGCTTTTACAGTTTACAGTTGCATTTATAATTCTTCTTTGTTGGAATATTTCTTAAAATTGCTAAACGATCAGCAAAACATTTCACAAACAAATGGCTCTCTGGAATGTAAAAGTGCACTTTGAAACTTAAGCGATGGTGAGATTCTGCCATTCATTTAAAGTTCATTCATTTATCTCTTATTGCTTTGCCTGAAATGCTCCTCTTCACACCAAAAAAATGCATTTTAAATTTCTTGCAATTATTCCATTACATATACAGTACCTTCATTGCTTGAATTTAAACCATCGAAACATACTTCTCCACTGATCTGATCTGTATCTTGGTTTAGCGCTGTGGTCTTCAAACATTCACCCTGTTGAACTGCTTTTACAAAATTAAAATTGAAAAACGAAAATGGTCTATAAAACAAGAACCGGGTACTGTAAATAAACCATTATTTATGGTTTTCAAATCTTTACTTTAAGATAAGATCAGATAAAACTATATTGATCTTGCGATGGAGAAGTTTACCTGTACAGTATGTGTATGTTACTTTGAAGCTACTGGAAGTTACTGGAAGCTCCTAACTGGAGACCACTGGTATTTATAGAGCTACAGTGTATAACATGGCCTTTTACTGTGGAACATTTGAGGCACATTAATAAAAATAGTTAGTTCAGCATGTATATTATATCTTTTCATATAAAAGTTAATTTATACAAATCATCTAGTTTGGTATTTATTATGTTATTGTTGTTAAGGCTTCCTGGATTAATCATTTATTTCAGCTCAGAACATATACTGTAGGTTCCAAACTGTCTGACCACGATGGAAACTAACTGCCCCTATAGGTCACTTCACAAGATTAAATATTCACAGTGCTGCTTGGAAATCAAAGGCGATAAAAACCATTTTGTTTGCAGCCGCAATGCAATGTTATTTTTTATCATAATTTGTCATATAAACTTTAATTTATTGGCAGAAGAATGCAATCATAGAGGCTAAGGGAGACCAAAGAGAAGAGTTATTGCTGTAGTGAGCAAAGTTAGTTAGTTAATGTTTTAAAAATGTATCATGAATTAAAGTTATGTACATAAAATCATCCTCATACAGTTGTCAGATTAGCATTTGGGAGGAAGCTTTAACAAAGGTGGTTCACAAGCTAACATGTATACATCACAATACGTATTAACTAACACCCCATGTATCACTATACTGCAATACTTGAAAAAATATACTTATTACAGTTCTATACAAAGACACTACAGAGTTCAAATATTTAGTGCATTGTTGATTACTTGAAAGTATAAGATAGAGTGTGACACATTTTTCTGAATAATATTCCACAGTTGTTTTGAGTGTAGCATGGATTGAGTCCCCACTTCCAGCCTGGACACCATCTGCACTGCCGGAAATCTGATTGAGATGTTTTATTGGGTCAATGTTGAATATGCATGTTGTTGTTGTTTTTTGTCTTTTGGTTTGTGGTTTTACTTGGAAAATATGTGTTTAATCAATATAAATGGTTTTATTTATTTGTTTTTATCTAATGTATTGCATAAGGTGCATTATACAACTTTCCAGGTGGGGTCCACTACCAGCTTGTCGCCATGAAAATTTTATTTTGTATCTTTTCTTAGAATGTAGCTCAGTATGATACAGAACTGGTCACGTCATGTCATTTTCTACCCCTTTATCAATTTATTTCTGGGTCGGGGGGGTAATGTAAGTTTTTACATTGAGTTGGCTCTCCTATGTAAACTGGGTAATTATTGTAACCAAACGAAAGCTGTATCTTTCACCTGGAGTTGTGTAGTGCACCTTTCAAATAGCGACACTATAATTTAGGGTAAAATCCCAAATGTCAGAGTCCCGAAACTGACTTGCATATAATTTCATGCCAAAACATGGATGTTACAAAATTAATTGTATCAAGCACAATGATTGAATTACTATCAACAAAGTACATAAAATAACTGACAATTATTTGTTTTACATGTTGTTTTTTACATTTGGCATTCAATTGTTTTCATTTATTTTTTGCTGTTTTAGTGTGCAGGTAAAATGTCTTGTTGTTGTTATTTATCCTTACCGAAATCTCCTTTGTATCTTCATATACTTTGCCGAAAGCACATTCTGTTTTAAAATACCCTGTAAAATCAATAGCAATTACCTGCCACTGTACCATTAACTTGCCTAAAATGTCTTGTTTTAGTGCACAAATGGTTATAACATTGACCATTTTCAATCACCACCAGTACTTAAGCTAATTGGCCCACTCGATTCCATGTCACATCCAATGAACTGTTGAGAAAAGTATGAGATAATAAATAAAGAATAAAATCAATCGGTGTGTGTAATCTTCTTAAACCTACTGGTATATCACTGTGCTGGTTCAGAACAATGCTATATTCAGACCCACTGCAGCTTGGAAATGTTGCTTGATGTGTAGTATATTACTGCAGATATTTGATGTTATGACTCATAGCCTTTTGTATGTCAAGTGCTTCGGCACAAATGGCTGCTGCATGATGAGTGGATGACACCAAGGTCAAAAATAGCATTTTAGAACCGCAAAAATATACCAATCACAGAATTTAGGTAAGCACATATGCAATCATGTGATTCTGGCTCCTATTATATGGGTAAATAATATTCAATTTAAAAGAATATTTTGTTTTGTTAATTGGCATGGTAACAGTCCACATTTCTCATCAGTGTGAAAGTAAATGGATATTTGCGGTGGACATTTTTAGAGTGAAATAATTAGAATGTATCACTGATGCTGAGTCTTAAGAGGTTTATTTCCAGATCTTTGTAGGGTATCTCTAATGTCATATTCATCTATCTCTGCATCAAACAGGTAGTTTAATGCTAAATGTTGAGGACCATTCTCCCATTCGGAAGATAATATTTTGTTTTAAAGTGTCTATCACCATGGCCTCACTCTGGTTCTCATTTAAAAAAAAAATCCGAAACTCATGGTGAGTCTCATTATTGTTATTATTTGTCGTTCCAATTAACCAAACCATGCATCCTCAAAATGTTGCAGGAATGTTTCATACACATTTTTCCAAAACCTTTCAGTTTTGATCTAGATAGGGCTCTTTTTGGTACTCCATATCAGCAGTCCTGTGTATTATAGCTATAGGTCTACATATTTATCTTGAATTGAATCAAAGTCGTTGAATTGTTCCAACAGACTGGAAGCGTAAACCCATGATTATTGAAAACATATATATCATTATTGGTATTATTTGTATTATCATTATTATTATTGCTACGGAGTGTTATTTGTATTATTATTATTATTATTGTTATTATTATATATTGTTTTCTTTTCCAGTTAGTGCTATTCTTGCTCCCCCTCCCCCCTCCCCACGATGCTTCCCACAATGCAGCATATTTATTTATTTATTTATTTTCATCAATGAACGTCGATTACTCTGATGTTTACGTTCGTTTCTGCGGCAACGGGTCGAAAGGCGGAACTTGTGGAGGCGAGTAGCGCTTACGTAAGTCGCCTCATCCACTCACAGGCGCCTTGAGCTCCGTTACACTGCGACCGCTGCAAAAGTCCAGTTCTGCGGGAGGACAGCTGGCGAAATGGCCCGAAACCACCATTGCCTTCAGTAAAAACCCACATAGGAGCACCATTTACAGCTCATACATCGCCGAACCTCCGAAATTGGGTAAAACATTAGCGAAAAGGGATATTTTTTGTTACCGTTTTTGGATGTTCGCTTTGGGATGTCCTGCTCTCGGGTGAGTAGGTCCGACGTCGCTTCACCATATCTTTCATAAGCAACATCTTTTCATTTCCCAGCACAGCCATGCGTTTAATCTCTGCGTAAACTTGCATCCATGCGTGTTTTCAATGCCACGCTGGGATATTATAACAATACGTCAACGGTTACACGGCAAACCGTTAATTTCTGCGTGCTGTCAAGTTTATAACACTCATTCGCGACGCGCTGTCATTGAGAAATAGACTAATCCTGGCTGTTTTGATCATATTTGGCTGTATATGTTGTTTTTCCTCTCTTTAGCTAACATCTATCTGGCACATACGACTTAATGGGAGAATGTGTAGAAATTTGCTCTGTCGGCGTGAGATCAGCGCATACACTCGTCTATCCAATGACTTCTTCTTTAGCATTTTAACATTATGTGAGAAAAATGAACTTGTCCAGTGTTTCAGGGATCCATGCCCGCCCCTTTCCAGTATGCTCCCATCTCCCCCTGCTTCCCTGTCCTGCTGTTTGAATGGACGTGCATCGTAATCACGTGTGTGTGGATTACGTGTATTACATAAATCTATCTATTGATCATTTTGGAGGTAATCGCTGTCATGCATTTATATTTAGCCAGATCTCCTGTCTCGTCTCTCCATCTCATGTAACGCTATACCACTACGAACAGTCACCGCTTAGTTCCACTGACACACTAACTACGTCAAAGCTCTTCCCGTGGTGACGTTTTCCCTGTGTAATGCGTGTGTAATGCATAGTCAATATTAAACAAGTGACTACTATACGTCGAGGGACCATCCAGGACCACAGTGCAGCTCTGCAAAAGCAACTGCAGCATTCTCGACATTCAATCTAGTTTGAAGGTAGTCTGTGAAGTGCGTATATTCATTCTAGAAACCTCTGTTTATTTTAGTCCACACGTCACTCACGCAGTGGTTTTGAATGGCAGCTTGAAGCATCAGTGAGCACCTCTGACCTTTGCAGCAGCTCTGGTTCAGAGGTCATGCAGGTGTATTAGGTCAGCAGGTTCATTTCCAATTGCTGTTTTTTTTTTTTTCTCAAACCGCCAAAGGTAAAAAAGTAAGCCCTTTTCCAACGCAATTTGTTTAAAAATAATGGAAAATGTATATGTGTATCCCAGTGCCAACTATTGACTGTATATAGATAGACTGTGAAGGTTCTCTTATCTTATCTTCCTTCTACAGGATAGAGTCTCCAAAGCTCAAAAGACCAGATTCTCCCAAATACAATTGACTCGTTGAAGTTTGGATTAATAATGAAATAACAATAATGCAATAGTTATGCACTTTTCCATATTTTCGAAGTTGGTTTGCGGTTTTTTGCATTATTCATTCAGTCTATAAATTGTAAATCAGACAGTTGTATCTTTTTATATACGTCTTTTCATGGTTCATTGCATGTGCTTTCAAATGCGAGAAAGGGAAAATCCCACAAACATCAATAACAGTGAATTCAACCATACATTTCTATAGTACTCTTAATGTGTGTGTTTGTTGTGTTGTGTTGAATATTGAATGTCTTGTGTTGTAATTATTTGTGTAAATGATTTGTCTGCAAGTGGAGTGTGTGGGGGGGGGTGGTTTTGAATAAGCGTAAGCTTCCATCATCCCCCTTTCAAACCAAGCAGACCTTGTATTTTGTTTTTCCTGTTTGTATACACCTGCAGGTTTGAAATAAATGAAATGAAATGAAATGAAATGTTAATGTTGGAGGCTACATGCACAGGTGTTTTTCGCATTAGTAACTACACCAAGTACCTGTATTTATCCTTATCTAGAATGATAAAAAAGGAATTAATAGTCTCAAACCTGAACCCAGAACATACGCAGCTTTGCCATACATTTTACGATACCCATGTGTCTTTGTGTATCCCGTTGGATTACTCTTACTTATCTCTTAACTTCTGCAAAACATGAAAATCAATCTTTTTGTGCGAGATCAAAAAACCAAACTCTCTTATTCCACAAACAAGGAACACTACCCACACGTTTACACCTGTGACCCTCCAACACTTTTAGCTCTGTAATGCTGCAGTCAGCTCTTGTATTTGCTTCTACTTTACTCCGAGCTTAACAAGGAGGGTCAGACCTCACCTCTTTGAACCCGCTGCTGGACGGAGATGCTGTCGGTTGTTATCGCTGGAGATGCTTGCGGATGAGTCACGCTCTTTTCGCTTCTCTTATTTATTTCACATTTCACATTTCACATTACTGACAGAAGCAAATCTCCATGGTTACCGGTGGCCTTGCAAAGCTCTCATGGTGGGATTCTCAAACTTTTAACTTAACATCAAAAGTATGCCAACCAATTCTCCATAAGATCTCTTTATATTAGTGACTGATTGACAACAATATTTGCACCGAACGAAAACACAAGGCTTGAAGGAAACAACACAGTGAAAGCTTGGCGAGTTGGACACTTGTTGGCTTTTCACCACAGGGAAGACAAAACAAGCTTTTCTAAATTTTAAGTACATAAGTAAACTAAAGGAGAGAGAGAATTGCAGTATAATGGACTACAGCAAGTTCATCCATGTGGTGCAATATAGACACATTTTCTACAAAGACAACTTCATAATGGAAATAGTACCTAACCTTGACTGTTTGATTCTCTGATCTGTGTTGGCCAATTCAAAGGTTTTGTTAAGTCTCCCGAGATAACTACTGTTGTGATTTTGGGCTGTACAAGAATACATGTAATTGAATTGCATTGAAGTTATAGCTGCACTCATCCAAACATATCTACACGTAAACTATTGTCCAGCCTGTGTGGCTCAGTCTGAACAGTTAGCTTAAGGGTTTTTGCCAGTGTGATATGCCTACTGACTTAGAACTGGGCTGAAAAGAGGAAGTATTTAAATCTATTTAGGTCTAACTTGGAGTCACCCATCACAAACACCTAAAAACAAGAGTATTCACTTGCATGAAAAACGCTCTCCTCGAATTGCATTCAGAATGTCATATTGAAAGTATTGTGTTGAAGTTTGGGGAAACTGATACAAACTGCTAGAATGTCCACTATAGACCTCATTCAAACCCACTGATCATAGAAATAAAACATTTCAAGATTCATTTGAAAACTACTCAAATAAAGTTCTGGGCATCCGAAAACTCTCCGTCACATGATTTACAAAACCTACTGTATTTTATGATAAAGCTGCTCACTATCACTACAAGTACAAGACGAAGCAAACTAATTCATGTGAATTCATAGCTACTTTAAAAATCAAAGTGTATTTCAGTCCGAGGAGTTACTCTTTGGAATGAATTATCAGATGATTTATCAACATGTTCAGTTATGATTCAGTTCAAAACAATATATTAAGTAAGAAGAAATATGTGAAAGAAAGAGTGACACCCTCAGCACAAAGTGAGTGATGGGAGGGAGCTGTTTGAGTGTTTTTGGGCTTGTGTCTTGTGTATTTTGTTTTGTGCTGTATCGAGCCAAAAAAGTGTAGCGTCGCCCAACCCCTTTTCAAACTATTTCTGTGTCTTGTTTATTGTTTTAGTCTGTATGATATTTAAGTTTGAAATAACCTTCCTAAAAGACAAATAAGTAATAGATTTACAGACCCTTATACTCATTCAGCGGCACTGTGACTCACATCACACTTTCTCTTAACAGTTTGTTGAAGAAGCTGTCTATTTTTTGTCCCAAAGTTTAGTGGTAAAATACACTTTCTGGAGGGAAAAGGAAAACTGGCAAACAAAATGAGCCACTAGCGCAGCTTTAAAGTTCTTTGTTTGAACATTAACCTTAGCTCTGAACAAGATGACAACGCTTTTGTCGTTTTGCAGTATATATAGTATTGTCCTTTCATTTCAATGTAATTTGAAAACAAATTGTATATATGTATTTTGTCCTAATAATGTATATGGTTCTCATTGTCTCTTTCAGGCTAAAAAAAAAAATCCCTTTGTTTAGGAGACTCTATCCAATTTCCTCTATCCACTTGCGTATCCTCGCTCAGCCTGAAAGTTTGCAGTATAGAAATGAGATTTGTCATACCAGTTATGATATTGTTTTCTTAATAACAATAGAAAAAAAAATATTGGACGGGGAAAAAAACAATATGGAGTATAAAACATCCTTAAGTGTTTTATACCCCATCTGCAGAGAAGTGTCATCTCGCCTCTCCGTAGATATGACCTGTAACTTAGACTTATACAAATCAAAAGCTCCAGCTGAACTTGGACTTTGAGGTAAACACCAGGCCTCGGTCTAAACAAAGCTCCCAGACTGCCCTCACCAGGCTGTGTTGTACACCAGTTGCCCAGGAAACACATTGGGAAGCACTGTCCTGTTGCTTGTCCCTTAAGAACAAATTGGAATGCAGTGAGTGTTGAGTGACCTGTGGAGGTCATAGGCGGCTGCTATATTTACCAGCGCTGTAACTTGATCTGGTGGCATTCTGCGTGGCTCTGCTCATACTACACTCTCACACTCACAAGTAGCACCCCAGCACCTTTCCTGCCCACTGCCGCGCTGCGCAACAAGGGTGAGCCTCCGGACAAAACCAGTAACCAACACTAACCCTTTCTCTCTACCTGCCGACAGTCACATGCCCAGGGGCCCTTGGCTGAATACACAACTGACAAACTCATATCCGACTATTTTAGAGCTTAGGTTTTGCATGGCAACAGTTTGGTGCTACTTTTGGTTAAATAAATATTGGACCTGTTTGCGATGTGACAACGCGAACGAGTGCAAAAGATTGACAATGTGGCCATCTTTTGATAACCATTTATTACGTTTTTTGTTATTAAAGTTTTGAAACATATTGCTTTCACACTAGGCTGAATGTAGGGGTTCATGCTGTCTTTATTAACATCATTTGAGGATTGTAAAAAAGCCATTAAACGCACAAGCAAATAGGCTGAGTAGATTTTTGTGGATGTGGCAAGACACCTGTTTTTGGTTGTTGTGTTAATTTCCTGGTCTTTTCTTTCAGGTTTGATTTGTATCCCAAAATATGTGCACCGGGGGAGCGACTGTACAATGAGCTGCCCCAAAGCCTTTTCCAGCAGGGTGGATTGACAAGCCACTACAAATACAGCAGGTAACACACTGTTATGAACTTCTACTGTTCGCTTGTGTGCTTTTGTAGAATATTGGTTTTCAACTTTCTCCTATGATAACAACTTTTCTACCATAATAACAAAGCACAGTGTTTCTATGCATGATCAAAGGTATATGACATATGTGAGGAAAACGTTTGCTAACATTTCCTGTAGCCCTACAATGTGTAAAACATCTGTACAGATTGCATTTATTTACAAAACTTATTTTGTGAACTTAAATCTGGGGTACCTAAGTTTCAAATCGCAAAACTACGGGTATGTTACAAAAATCTCAAATCAGCTTTTCAGACAGAAAGTGAAAATGAGAGGACCAACACAACTCTCACTTCTCAGGTTCTGTCTCATAAGTATGTCAAAGATAACTAATTCTAAGAAGGAGAAGACGACATTTTTTGGTCTGATCTGCTCACTGCATTTTACTTTTTGCAAGACTCTTTCTGTTAGGGCAAACTACATGTATTATTTATGAAAAAAGCAAAGTACCCCAAGAGTAGCACAGGGCAAAGCCAGACAACAAGATGCAAAAGAAAATTGGCACAAAGAAATTCTATTCTTATTTTGTATCTGTCCTGTGACAGTGGTAAGATGCAAACGCTTGTTTTCTTTTGTTGCTCCCAGTGACTCACCACAATGATTAAACTGGGGTCGCTGGTGCTGTGCGTCAGAGCTTCTGCTACTTTTACTCTGTCTGTTATGTGCAGTGAAGGCTTTGGCACTCAAAGGACAGACTGGATACAGCTGCTTTACTTTACTTACAAGTAACACTAATTGTGCAGTGGAGAGCTGTTCTCCACAACGTTACCCTCGTCAAGATCAACTCTTTAATGTGATTAAACCAGGCAGGACTAATTCAATAGCACCAAACATGGACTTAATCCAGCATTAATAAGTTCTTCATCTGACTGGGAAACTAAACCTCATCTGACTCGTGTAAAGGTAATGTTAACAAAGTATCTGCTGTAGATTGAAATAATAGTGTGTAAAAAAAAAAATTGCCAATTTTTTTTAGATTTTATCTACGGATTTCTGAATGAGAAGTAATGAGGACTATTACTATTACTTGATCAGTTATTAGACTATTATTATCAATTACTTAACTATTACTATTTTATATAAAGTAGTCAAAATTACAAGCTGAAACGCAGTGATAGAGGCTCTGCAGCAGCATTGACAGTTGACTCACAGACACAACAACCACCCATTTTCTCCATTGTTATATTAATCTCCAAAATCCAGAGCTTGGGTGTTCAGAAACACTGAAAAAACTGCTGAACAGTGGAAATAAATAATTGATATTGACACACGTACAATAGAATAGAAACACAAACAAACACACACTGGACTTGCTCAACTGTCCTGGTGGTGACCTGCTTCTTGCAATAGAGATTACTTTGTTTGGTTTAACACATGTACATTCCTCAACTATGGATGATTTTAGCGCTTCAAATGTTGATGTTTTTTTTCTACAGTAAGACTTGCCTCTCCACAGATATAAATTGTTACTTAGCCAAGTGAAGTCACATGCTTGTTTTCGCATGTAAAAGTTTAATGACAAACTGTTAATTATCCAGGCAAAACAACAACATTTAGATGAACCCAAGGGCCACAGACAGTGGAGGAATGCATCACACAATATTACAGCTCCAAAAAGTCTAACTTACCTTGTGATCTTCAAAGCTTAGAATGTTATTGGAATCTACTATTGAAGGGAGTTTTGGAAATATAAGGAGAAACAGGTGGGTGGAGAGGTCCTTCCTCAAGTGGAGGAGTTCAAGTATCTCGGGGTCTTGTTCACGAGTGAGGGGAGGATGGAGCGTGAGATTGACAGGCGGATCGGTGCAGCGTGCGCAGTGATGCGGTCTCTGTATCGGACCGTTGTGGTAAAGAGGGAGCTGAGCCGAAAGGCAAAGCTCTCAATTTACCGGTCAATCTTCGTTCCCTCCCTCACCTATGGTCATGAGCTGTGGGTAATGACCGAAAGAACGAGATCGCGGATACAAGCGGTCGAAATGAGCTTCCTCCGCAGAGTGGCTGGGCGCTCCCTTAGAGATAGGGTGAGGAGCTCGGTCACACGGGAGGAGCTCGGAGTAGAGCCGCTGCTTCTCCACGTCGAGAGGAACCAGTCGAGGTGGCTCGGGCATCTGTTCAGGATGCCTCCTGGACGCCTTCCTGGGGAGGTGTTCCGGGCACGTCCCACCGGGAGGAGGCCCCGGGGAAGACCCAGGACACGCTGGAGAGACTATGTCTCTCAGCTGGCCTGGGAACGCCTAGGGGTCCCCCCGGACGAGCTTGAGGAGGTGTGTGTGGATAGGGAAGTCTGGGCGTCTCTGCTTAGACTGCTGCCCCCGCGACCCGGCAACGGATAAAGCGGAAGAAAATGGATGGATGGATGGAGGAGAAACATGAACATTTTTGGTGCATCGCTTTATTATTTACCACCAATTGTGAGGATGAGGCGGTTATATAGCAGGAGTTATGACAAGATGAAGAGGAGCAGCTTTCTCAAAGTATTGTTTTGAACATGATAACTACTATACTTCCCACACATATTACCACCACTTGTGGGCCGTGCAGTAAGAGGTCTGTAGCCGGGGCTGAAAATGAGGCGTCAGTGTGGCTCTCGCATCAGCACAGTCTTCTCTCACATTTCAAAGTATATTTAGCTACGTCGGATCAACACAGCCCATGCACCTGAAGCCCCCTCATCAGGATACTTTTCAAAACCCAACCTCATTTATGGTGCCCAGTCTGTACCAATTTCTATTGTCCCAAATTATCATCAGAAACATTCAGTGTCATTGTAAACAAGAGATTTCATGTCATAATTTAGTGGCAAGTTTTTTTAGTCAGATCACAAAATGAGATGGTCCAGGAATGTTCCTCTAACCAAATGGAACAGGAATATGAATATAAATTATTACTTTGAAATTAAACATCAAAAAGTATCAATGAATCGATTGATTGATAAAATGATGGGTTCCACTAAGGGTTGGTAGATAGCAGAGACTTCACACAAGTATGAAAGGTCTAATTGCTAAAAGGTCTATTAATTAGTAATAGTAAAACCTAGTGAAGATATGCAAAGTCTGTTTCCATCAAATGCAGAGTGAAGTTGGAAGCGTGTGTGTAGATTTATTCTGATTTATTACATTGTAAAAAAAAAAAAAAAAAAGAGGAAAGTCAAGAGGAATGTGATTAGCTCATTGAATCCCAAAATAGACCTTGGCAAAGGAATTATTGTTCCGATTCATACCCAGGCACTCACAATAACTCTGTTTAATAGGCTCTTGATAATATCCACTTTGAGCTGCTGTCATTCTCCAGTTTAAGTGGTGTTTGTCTGAACCTTGCCCAGAAACTGAAACCTCATCTCCCCCCCTCTCTGTGCCCAGCCTTTGCCCGGCATTAGCTGGTAAAACATACTCCCTCACACAGCAGTGCGGGCTGCACTGTCCACTTAACTCATAATTCACGACTTCCTCTATCAGTCTCGCTAATTTCAACCATATAGACAGCGTTAGACAGCACTTTCCCCTTTTGCCTCTCTTGCACACGCTGTAAATTGGCTGCGGATATCGGCCCCATCCGCTGCTGCAGCTTTTCGGTCGGTCTATGCGTCGGTAGAAGCACAGAAACAAATGCAGTGTTTCCATGGTGATGGTGGAAACACACTGGGGGGGAGCAGAAAATGCAGAGTAGCCAGAGAGAAGGCATGACTGCGTGCGCGTTGTAGTTTCCCCGGAGATCTCTGCTGAAATCTATAGTTTACACTTGTCCCACATGAGCTTGTCCCATGGATACAGACTCAAAGTGGCTGACTGGAGGCAAGGGGAAAATACTTGAGGGAAAGTCAAGAAGGATTATAGAACAAAGAAAGGCTTAAAAGTGTATGGTCTTGCAGTGGTGTAAAAAGTACACTGGGAGAATTACTTTACTGTACTTTACTCTACTTTAAGTGTTGCACTCAGAATTGTAAAGCTAACAAAACAAAATGATGGTTAGTATAGTTAATTTTTTATCCACAATTATACAGGTACATATTAACAAATAGTAATAATTTGATTTAAGAAGCAAGAACAACTTGCTTACAACAAATATCATATCAACCAATGGACTATTAGTCTTATTTCAAGTGCAGTAGCGTTTGATTCTGACAAAAGTAATTTATAAGTATGGGTTTATTTTAAGTACTAATCAGACCATACATGCTGTCTTGACTTTTAAGACATAAGAAAAGAACATTTAAACTTTATTGTGTTACAACATTTTTGATCACAGTAACCGTAACTTTTTGAATTGTGGCATCCCTAATTACACTTATATATGAAATATGATCAATTTGCACTAAATGTTTTATGTGGGAAGAACCATTAGCTGTTCCACATCAGATTTCAATATCCTGGGTTTAATTGCCAACAAATGGCGTGTTTTGGGGAGTTTGCTTTTCTTCGAGTAGATGACTAAGTTTGTATCCTTCACCTCCCACAACAAATCAGATAGTGCAAGCTGTGTGAAACTGAGTTTACCTCATACTGCATGTGTTCTCTGAGCTCTGGCCAATCAGAGCAGTCGATGATATGATGCTATGTGAGTTTGTAGGTGTAGAAAGAAAGATTGATAACCCCAACAAGTTAAAAAAGGAGATAATAAAGGCACTTTATTTAAGTTTAGTTTCCTCACACAATACACTTTAATGATAAATAGTGGTAATTTGTAGTTGATGAGGATACTTAAGACCCAAAGAGACTGTTGCTATGATTAGCTGACTAAATCAAAGTGTTACCAAGTCATTTGGAGTCAGCGGACAGCCCTGACACAAAGCTGAAGAGATGTTCTCGTGTGGCAGAGAGGCCTGTGCTGATGAGGAAGAGGAGAAAGAACCATTGATTTAACATTAGCGTCTTGGCACAGAAGCTGGTTCAGCACCGGTCCACTCAGCCCCTGGTGCTGTGGGCAGTGCTGGGCCGTGGCATGTCTCCAGCAGCCTGTGTGTGCCTACTCCACATCCATTTGCTGAATAATTGATCGTGCTCTGGTCACTGAGGGGAGAGAGAAAGCGATCTAGAGCATCGGAGGAGAAGTCAGAGCAGGGAAAGCACAGCGGAGAGAGAGGAGAGAAGCAGAGAAACTGGAGCTCCCAAACCGAACTCAACACGCATCCACAACACCAGATACTTTTATTTATTCAAACGCTGCTGCGCTCGTGAACAAGAGCCCTCTCAGCCCGGGACGCTCTCTGTGGGCACACACTGTGCCGTTAAATATGGGATTATACAAGAGCAGTGGGAGTGCTGTGGAAGGGCTGCGAGAATGCAATACTTTATTTATTGTGAGCACATGCCAAATCCAAATAAGGATGCATGTGTTTTGAAGTAACTTCATTTGGCAGTAACTAATTGAAGACATGCATTTCACATTTAATCCTTTAAAGCTGGGGTACTTAACTTTCTTAGTACAAACCATCAACTATGTATAACTAGTTATAGTTATCTAACTAGTTATTTGCTTTCAAAACAGTTATGGTACTATGCTACCATTAGATTGTGTATGCCTGGATGTTTGGATCAGCTTTTCAAAACACAAAAGTGAAAAAGATAGGATCACCCTTTCCGCAGCCAACCAGCTCTCAGTCAGCCCAGTTAATAGTGACACACAAGGCTCCTCATTGTTTTCTAATATGATAAAGACAGCATGTTGTAGTATCAATTTGTTCGCCACATTTTACTTTTACAAGATTGTTGGGATAAACAAAATGTATGTGATAAATGTATGTTCCCTCTTTCCCTCTTTTGCCTGACATCAGTCCTGCATCTTTCCTGCCCCACACTTCTCTGTCTGCTTCAGTGATCTGCTGCTCCATTGTTGCTGTGTAAGTGTTGATACTTGCTGATGAACGGTCTCTGCTGTGTTTGCAGTCAATGCGGTCTTCCAGCGGAGCTCTCGCCCCGCGCCTGAGAACGCACCAGCAGCAGCAGCAGCATGTCCCGCGTGTCGTCCACGGCCAAACGTTACCCCGGCCCCTCCTCCTACACCTCCCATTACAGCTCCTACACCTCCTCCCTGGGAACTGGCCTTAGCTCCTACAGTGACCGGGACAGGCTCTCCACCTACAAGTCCCCCACATCATCCTCTGGGTACTCCTCCTCCAGCTACCTGAGCTCGGCTGCCCGCTCCCGAAACTACAGCAGTTCCTCAGACCCCGAGCGGGACAGAGGCCGGACCGTCCCGCGCAGCGATATCCTCGGCACCAGCAGCAGCAGCAGCATCGGGAGCAGGCGCAGCGAGAGCCTGAGTCGGACCCCTGTGAAGAGCTACGGGGGGTCAGGGCTGACCGGGGGCGCGGGCTACTCCTCATACAGCTCCTACTCCCCTCATGTCCACTCTAGCTACCTCTCCTCGACACCAGCGGCCTCCAGCAGCTTCTCGCTCAGGCGCAAATCTGTGTCCCAAAGCGATCTGAGCCGGGACTTTGCCTCTCTGGGCATCAGTGACAGCTCCTCTTCCTCCTCCACCCCAACTTCCTCTTCCCTCCGGAGCTACCGCAGCCGAAACAGTGACGTGTCCGACTCGTACGGGGCCAGGTCGGGGTACACGGGCCTGTCCCGCAGCTCCACTCAGGAGATCCTCAGCAGCAGCAGAGCACTCAGCACCTCCTCGCCCTGGGAGCACAGCAGTAACGCCCGCTCTGAGTCGCCGTCCAGGGACACATCAACGGTAAGACACCGCCCCACACGCCGTCCCACACGCCACCCCACACGCCGCCCCACACATCGCCCCACAATTACCATTTACAATTCAAATTCATGGGTCAAAGTTTAAGCTGGGGTACCTAAGTGAACAAATCAGACCATACGTGCTATCTTAGTATCATCAGAAAGATATATCTTTTACATACCTGTAAGAAAGAGCCCTTTGAGTGACTATTATGCTTTGGGCTGCGAGCTGAAGGCTGAGCAAAAGTGTTCCGGTCTTTTACACCTTTCTGTTTGAAAAAGCTTATCTAAAAATGTGACAAAAATACATGCATGTGAATCCAAGTGATAAAACCAAACTTTTATGAGAATCAATCAATCAATCAAAGTTTATTTGTAGAGCGCCTTTCATACACAGGGCAACACAAAGCGCTTCACAGTCCACATCACAAATCATCACATAAAACAAACACCAGAATCACAATTAAAACATTAAAATCACACAAAAGATTAAAACACAATTAAAACATTAAAATCACACAAAAGAATAAAACCATTAAAACCAAAAAAAAAAAAAAATAAAAAAAATAAAATGACAGCAGTGCATTAGAAATGGAGATAAAATCCTTCAGTTGTATGCACAGGCAAACAGAACAGTCTTTAACCTGGATTTCAACATTGACAGAGTAGACGCCTCCCTCACATTTTCAGGGAGATTGTTCCAGATCTTAGCTGCATGGATCTGAAACGCAGCCTCCCCATGTTTGGTTCTCACTCTGGGCACCAGCAGGAGGCCAGTCCCTGTGCTCCTCAGAGTCCGGGCCGGTTCATATGACACCAACATGTCACTAATGTATTCTGGTGCAAGGCCATGGAGAGACTTGTACACAAGCAGAGCCGTTTTAAAATCTATTCTTTGAGCCACAGGAAGCCAGTGCAGAGACCTGAGGACCGGACTAATATGGTCATACTTCCTGGTTCCTGTCAGGACTCTAGCTGCTGCATTTTGGATGTACTGCAGCTGCTTACAGGTCTGTTTGGACAGACCTGTGAGCAGGCCATTGCAGTAGTCTAGCCTGCTGGAGACAAATGCATGGACAAGAATCTCCAAGTCTGCCCTGGACACTATATTTCTAACTTTGGCAATGTTCTTCAGATGGTAAAAAGCTGTTGATGTTATTGATTTTATGTGGCTATTGAAATTTAGGTCTGAGTCCAGTATTACCCCCAAATTTCTGACCTTGTCTGAAGGAAGTAGGGACAGAGACTGAAGTTGACAAATGACGCCCTCTCTTTGTTTCTGGGGACCAAAGACAATGATTTCGGTTTTGTCTGTATTTAGCTGGAGGAAATTATTTTGCATCCAGTCACTGATCTGTTGGATACAGTGAAGGAGCAAATCCAGTGGTCCATGTTCTCCTGCAGTCAGTGAGACATAGATCTGAGTGTCGTCGGCGTAATTGTGGTAGGACACTTTGTTTCTTTGTATTAACTGACCTAACGGCAGCATGTAGAGATTAAATAGGAGAGGTCCCAGAATCGACCCCTGTGGTACTCCACAGGTCAGGGCCACATCATCTGAGACGCAGTCTCCAATCTCCACAGAGTACTTCCTATCCTCCAGGTAAGACCTAAACCAGTCTAGGGCTGTGCCAGTGACACCAACCCAGTCCTCCAGTCTCTGCATGAGGATCTCATGGTCGACAGTGTCGAACGCGGCACTAAGATCTAACATGACCAAAACTGTGACTTTACCTGCATCAGTGTGAAGTCGAATGTCATTTGTTACCTTCACTAGAGCGGTCTCAGTGCTGTGGTGGGGTCTAAACCCAGACTGGAACATATCAAAAGAATTATTCATTGTTAAAAATTCAGTAAGTTGTTGGGAGGCCACTTTTTCAAGAATTTTTCCAATGAATGGCAGATTCGATATGGGGCGATAATTTTGAAGTCCCGCAGGATCCAGACTGCTCTTTTTTAGGAGAGGTCTTATGACTGCTGTTTTTAGGGCTATAGGAAATGTTCCTGACGACAGAGACATGTTTACTATTTGTGTCAGTGAAGGTAACAAACTGCTCAGGACGGACTTCAGAAATTTAGAGGGCAATACATCCAGGCTACATGTGGAGGAGCTCAGACTCATGATTATCTTTTTGACAGTTTCAGTATCCACAGGTGCAAAGTGAGCTAGCTCAAAAAGCTTCTCTGGCTGTTGCATTGTTATACGTGCTGTGGAGGTGATAGTGTTTTTGATTCCTTGTACTTTGTCATTGAAAAACTGTGCGAACTCATTACACCTAGATTTAGAGGAAAATTCTAGGGGCAACTTTACAGGGGGGTTCGTTAATCTACCAACTGTTGAAAACATAACACGAAAATTGTTACTGCAACCTCCAATAATGTCAGAAAAATACATTTCTCTTGTTCTACGTAGAACCCGGTTAAATTCACCCAACTCATCTTTAAAGATTTCATAATCGCCCTGGAAATTGGACTTTCGCCACTTCCGTTCGGCCCTCCGGCACTCTTGCTTCTGTGCCCTGACCGAGTCTGCCTTAGTCCATGGGGCCTTTTTCTTACTGGTAACTATTTTAACCGTCACAGGAGCAATGGCGTCCAGAACAGTCAGAACACTGGTGGTGACAGAGTTATACAATTCATCAACAGTAGAGCATGGAGTTTTCTCAAAATTTAGCATTCCCATGAACAGTTCACTTGTGTTTTCATGTATGTGTCTTCTTCTAACAATTGTAAATTCAGCTGGTGGTTTGCTAGCAAAACACATGTCAAAAAATACACAGAAATGATCTGACAAAGCAACATCAACTACATTAACATTTGATACATTAACCCCCTTTGTAATTAGCAGGTCAAGAGTGTGCCCCCTGCTGTGGGTGGGGCCACTCACGTGCTGAATGAAACCAAAGGTCTCAAATACAGAAGCCAGCTCCTTTGCATTTCTGTCATCAACATTATCAACATGTACATTAAAATCACCTGTAATAACTAAACTATCAAAATCTGTGCACACGAATGAAAGTAGTTCAGTAAAATGGTCAATAAAATCGCAACATGACTGTGGTGGCCTGTACAGGACAATGAAAAGAGTAGAAGATTGCTTTTGTTCCATTTTAAAAGAAATATACTCAAACGATGAAAAATTTCCAAGGGGCATTCTATGGGAGACAAAGTGCTCTCTAAAAACTGCAGCTATGCCTCCCCCCCTTTTGTTTTCTCGTATTTCGGATTCAAATTTAAAATTGGGTGGTGTTGCTTCTATTAGAACTGCATTTCCTGTATTTTGGTCCAGCCATGTTTCAGCCATAAGCATAAAATCAAGATCATAAGAAGTGATAAAATTATTAATTAAAAATGATTTGTTACATAGAGATCTGACATTAAGCATAGCAAGTTTAAAAATAACGTCAGAGTCGATTAATGTGGTTGATTGATTTCTACAGGGAACAGAAATTAGATTTACAGAGTTGGACCGTCTAACTGCTGTCCTGTTTTGATTTCGTTTTTTAGAATTAAAAAAAAAAAAAAAAAAAAAAAAAAGAATGAGGAACTACATTTATTCTATTTCTATTTATTCTATTTTACATGTAGTGAAGGGCTCTGCAGCTTCTTTTCACTGTCTTACAATGAAAATTATACAATTTATAATGAATTTGCAGCAGCCCAACCACTCTTCACATTATCGCATAAAAGCATTCTATATTTTCACCATTATGAGTTTGCAGGTCTTTGCACAGCTTTCAGAACCCAGAGCACAGTTACCCCTCATGGAAAGCTAGCCCCAATATGTTGCACTTCTGTACTGGTACATTTGAGATTCTTAATTTATCTGGGTTTTTGCAAAAAGCTAAACTTTTATTGGTAGAGTTTACTATTTATTTGTTGTAATATTGGTCTGCCATGACTCACATAATAAAAATGATTAGTTAAGCTAAGTGAAGGTTAGTACTGTATTATTATTATACTGTCTGTAATATTATAGATCCACTCACTGAATGTTTTGAAATGAAATCTCTTCTCAGTTACACATAAGGCTCACACTAGATGCACAAATCAAGGTCAAGAGGGGATTCTCTATGGAATCATCAATCATAATATCAAAACCTAAACTGTGGTTGGTGCCAACTGTGGTTGGTGTCATCTGAAAAAGCATTTAACTTGATTCTTTTATTGTTTAGTCTGTAAGCCAATATAGGGAATGATTGTTAAAGCCTGATATCTCACAATAATTGCAACAGTAAAATGTGATATCATGGTATTTGTTGTAAATAAGAGAGGAAAAGGCCACCTCTGTTTAATACAGTGGCGTGAGTGCACTGTCCTCTTACTCCAAAAGGGGGCACTGTTGTTTTAGATACAGACCATCAGACTATCCAGGACATATTAAAATGTTAATTATTTTCATCTGTAATTTCACATTAATAGTTAACAGATGCTGCGTGACAGCAGTATCTGTGTCTGGCATAATTTCACGTAGGATGAACATGTACATGAAAACAATCCTGAGGCCAAAGGATATTTGTAATTTAATTTAACAATCAAGCATAAATACTTAATTATAAATTTATATTTCACCTCAAAATGAGTCCTCAATAACATGTTTTTCTTTAGACCTCAATAAATAAGACCTGAGAAAATAATATCCAAATACATTCTTTCCAAACCATCTATCTTTAGGTGGATCTGTGAGTTAAAACTGTAAATGAATAATGCACCTGAGAGTCTAAAGAAGAGCTGCAGCAAATAATCAACTATTACTTATTCATTGATTTTTAAAATGAACAGTAATGATATATTGTTGATAACATTGAGGCTTGACTGGTGAATATGGTGAATATTATTTCACCAGGCTTTTTGTTGATTTTGTTATTTTCTTGTTTAATCATTTTCTCTTAGTACTAAAACTAGTATCAATACTAGATAGTCCTGTGAGAAAGTATTGATACTGCATGAGAAAAACACAAAAACAGGACACGTTTCGAGTTTGTAATTTTAGTAGCACTTCTTCCGTTAGACCAACTATTGACCCGAAAATACAAGTGTGATATATCTGTGACCTGATTAGAGATATTGTACTCAAACAGAACTGACAGCGTGTTTGGACACTTG